AAAATCACTAAAAAATTCGACAATTTTTTTAAATGTTAAACACACATTTACAGAAAAAATAATAATAATCGAAAAACGAGCTACATTTATGTCGATGTTTTTTTGTCTTGAATTCATTGTAATGGTTTCCGCAAAAATAAATTCAAATAGGTTCAGAATCAGAGTTAAAAAACAGTAAAATCGTGAGGACAAGGTAAATTACATTTGAGCCAAAACAAAAAAGAAAAATAAGAGTTCTTCTTTTTTTTGAGCATTCTCATTCCTCAATAAATTAGAAAATAATTTAGCATGGAAAAATTTCGTGTATTTACCAGTCTACCATCAATAGGCGCTGTATATTTTGACAAAAAAAAACTATTAATTTTCAGTTTTGAGTCTTGATGAACAATACTACACTATAACACACTTGAAAAATTAACACCACACAATAAAATACCATGTCGCATGACAACTTATTTAACAATCACAACGAGAGCCCGGCCAGAAACTGAAATCAAAGCCACGGACTTTCGGAGCTTCATCTGTTACAACGATGATGATTAATGGTGTCTACATCAAACCAATGAATGCGTTCTACATGACCGTTGCATCTGGACAGAGCCGGGGATTGGTCAGACCAAGGTAACCAGTAACCAGAGAATTGGTAAAAAATTTCAGCGGGCTGCTTAAAATTTAGACAGGTCGTGCGAATATGGGTGAAAATAAATGCATGATTTATCTAAATACGATTAACCACCCGATACCAGTAAAATGTAAAATTAAATTACCACTAAATAAAATAATACGATAAACGACAATTTTAGTAAAACTAAAAATAATGACTAATAAATTGAGACAGAAAACACCAAAAATCATAAAACATTAAGCAACAATAAAACGTTATTATTATTTTTATTATTGTAAGTTATTACAATAATGGTACCTACTACATTTACATAATGAAAATTGTACGTTTATAGCAAGTTCATACACGTTTTCATGAATTCCAGAAATAACTAATGGAATAGTTTTATTTTATTTTTATTCTTAAATTTCTGTCTACGTAAATATACAAATGTTTACTTACCTAAATACCTATTTTTAAATCCGTATCAGAACTCGGGGTTGAACGAAAACAAATGTGAACAACATAATTTAATAATAGGAAATAATGAAATCATTGGTTTGAAAACAGAAATAATACCAATAGTATGTGTAAAATATCATCCTATATTATTCTAAACATAATATTTATTGGTGTCAGTATGAAATTTATTATACAAAATATTATATTATTTATTATTATATAATATTACAATATTTGAAATATGTATAATGTTAAATGTGCAAAAGATACCTAGGTACCTATGTACTTTTTTTTATCAAAATGTAATTAACAATGGAAGAAATACTAAATTAGGTACTATTTGGAAAATTGTTGATGAATCTCTTGACAAAAAAATAATTTTTACGATTCCACTCTTTAAACAAGGTGATAAAGTTTTAACTATAGTCCAATTTTACTTACATATACTCATTATACTCAAAAAAAATGTACATAATATATACAATTTTCATATAACCCCCGATATTAAATTTAATTAAATCAATAAAAAAAAAATTGTAATTTGGCTAAAGATTCATTATGATTTTTAATTATACATAGATTTACAATAGGGCTTTTTTCCAAATATATTTTTATCAAGGCTTTTCCTGTTGTTTTTTGGTATAGTTCTTTTCTTCAATTCTATATACCTACCTATAGATACACAATCTATGATTTTAAATCATAATGTGTTTAGTGTTACATTTGTTGAATGTAGAATAAAGTTAAACATTTCAAATACGAATATGGAGCTAGGTTACTGACAAAAGAGATAAGTATAAACTATAAAATATTTAGTACATAATGGACATTTAGTCCAGTACATATCATTATTTCCTCAGTATCCTACATTCCTACTGCCAAGTGCCAGTCATACTACTCATTCACAGCTGACTCCCAAACCCCCAGAGCTTAAAAATCTGACATTTAGACATTCAAATTCATCTTCACATCTATCTTCCCCTATATCCTAATATTATTATTGTTTACGTTCTCCTATATCCTATCTTATGGGCTTTGACTAGCAGCTCGTACTTAAAGAAGACAAGTAATAATTTATGTACTTAGTAAGAGTGAAAAATTGTCTTATGTCTAGTACCGGGGTTCCCAACCTTTTTATCATCGAGTACCACCAGACAATTATATAATAAATACACATACCACCTCAATTCTATAACTTAATTAGGAGTCAAATTTTTTTAGCATATATTTTTATTATTCATTAATTTCTTTACATTTTTATTATTTGATATTTATAAAAGTAAAAAAATCTTAATTTTTAGTTAAATCTAAATATTTAAATTTTAAATTACAATTTTCAAATTATTAAAAAAAATAATAAATATAAATAATAATAAAATTAATGTGATATTTGTTGTTTACTTAGTCCAAGGACATCAATATCAGGCTGAATGGAACTAATTTTCACTCTTAAGTCATTTTGAATATCGAGCCTACTTTTGTACTTATTTTTCAATTACAGCAATTCAGAAAATCCACTCTCANACATCCAAAATGAAACTAATGAAAATAATAATTTTATAAAATTAGCTAATATCAGATAAACTAAATTAAATTAAATAATATTGAATGCAAATAGTAATAAAAAAATTTCTTCGCGTACCACCTACGAGCCTTCTGCATACCACAGGTTGGGAACTTCTGATCTATTGTATGTTGTACAAAAAAAATTAAATTTAAAATCAAAACTATATTACTCACAGTTAAATTTACTTAAGTGTAGTGTTATCAGATCGGCTTATTATATTATTTCAACAAAGATTGTAAATATTCTTTAAATAAAATTTAAAAAAAAAATTCACAATTTCATAATATCTGTTTCACAACTTATTGAATTGCGTATAATTATAAATTTAGCTTTTATATGTACCTATACATAGTAAGTAATATACATAAAATTCTAAAAATTAAAATTGTATAGACTGGCTGGATTATTTACATGATAAACACGAGAAAAACAAATTTTCAAGCCTATAGAACATTCACGTCATTAATTCTTATTTTTAATACTAGTCTATCATTTTTAGTTGCTTTTGATAAATGTAAATCTGTAATCTTCACTAGATGAAGATACTTAGTTATGTACTTGGATTCCCCTAATTTTTACCTTGACAATAATACTATTCATTTCGCTTCAAACATCACATATTTAGTAGTAATACTTGATTTCAAATAATGATGCTTACCACACATTATTTCATTCATTTCCTTTTGTTTTCGTTGGGTTAATTTTCTTAGACCATTATTAAGTACAAGCACTTGGTGGGGCTCTCGTCTCTCCTTTTTGCCTATTAACCTGTCTTTTAATTTTTTTCTGTAGGTACCTACTATATTATGTTACAATTGTAAATCATAATTGTCAGACTTAATAGTCAAACTAAAAATTCTTAAGAAAAAAAAAATTAAACTTTCTATAATATGGCCAAAACAAAATTGAATCCACTTGATTATATGTTCTCTTAGTATAACATAGGTATATAAAAAATTAATGTACTTTTCAATCTTTCAAATTATAAATTGTATGCATCCTGTGAGAACAGACAACCATTAATGGTAATTTAGAAAACCACATAAAATAATTTCACACGAGGCAATATAATAATCTTTTGAAAGAAATAGAAAATACTTAATAATTATATATATATTCTACAGGGAATTATTTAATGATAAGGGTTAATATTTATATCAGAGTACTTACTATTGATATTATTTCATTGGCCTATTGGTATACAGTAGTTATTAATTATATTTTTTTGAGTTTATACAATTATATTGTCTTATGACATTACATCTTAGCAATTTCTTCATTAAAATATTAAATTTAATATTATAAAATATTATAATTTCAGGTATCGATTTTAACTAAATTTTGATAATATATTAAAATATAATAAATTTTTTAATATAATTTTTCCTTTTTTTTTAAATTTCATATATTTGTTATCTAATAATAAATATGTTCAAAATCAAAACTATTTATAATAATAACTGAATCCTAGAAAATAAATTTAGACAATATGTTCAAAAATTAATTAACATTTTTTCTTACTATAGTAAGGTGTGAATATACATTTAAATTATAACATAAGTTCAAAAAGTAAAAGTTCTACGTTCTACATCTACACTAGTTATATCTAAATTAACATTTGCTTTACCTAACATGACTTCATAGTAGGACTTTAAAGTTCCATACCCTTCTTTTTTTTTAATTACATACAAACATTTTTCTTTAATTTTTTTCCTATTTGGCCCGAGAATATTTGTTAAAATATCTTCAATTTTTTTTAAAAAAAAATACATTTGTTTCAGTAGTTCACTATTAAATTCTTCCAAATTTCTAAGATTCATATATAAATCAGAAAAGTATAATTTTATGAATGCTAAACCACATTTGACTGCATTATTTTGCACAAACTATTTCAGCTTTTCAACACTTGTAGCATCATCTGTTAAACTTTCGATCACGTTTTTAAACTCTTTAAAATTATTTACATAGAAATGTGCAGCATTTACCTATGTTCCCCATCTTGTAATCATAGGTTTGAGCGATAAAGGTATACCCGGCATTTTTTTTCTGTATTTATTTATTCTCAATGGTACTTTTAGAAAAGCTTTTTTTCCTGAAATAAACAGAATAAATTACATATGTATTTAAATTTTAAATAAGTAAACAACATATTACCATTGTTCATCAATTTATTAATGTTAGGATACAATTCTCAAATTTTCTCTAGAATTCTATTAACTACGTGAGCCATACATGTAATATGAATTAATTTCGGGAAAAATATTTTTAATGTTTTTGCTGATTTGATCATATAAGTACCAGTATCATTAATAAAAAGTAATAATTTATGTTCAATACAAGGAATATTTTTAATGAGGAATTAATAGACTAACAAATAGTTTCATAATAGGTGGATTTTAGTTCTTTACACGAAACTAAATATGATTTACTAAGTGTGCCATATAATTTATCAATTATTAAATTTGCAATAGCCAAACCTAAATGAAAATAATATGTTTTAATATATAAGAAATTAAAAAAATTATTTATACAAACCTCTTGGATCGGTTATTTCTTCAACAATTATATAAACAGAATTATTTACAACATCACAAATTATTTGATTCATAACGCTTTTATAAATATTTGGTATGTAATTTTTTCTTAAAGTGCTTTCGTCGAGAATTGATTTGCCAGTATGTTTTTCCAAAAATGATTTTAACACATGATTGCCCAGCTTATGCAAAGGAATATTTACAGCAACAAATACATTACATGAATCTTCAAAAAATACATTTTTACTATTTGAATTTTGAGAAGGAATCAAAAGGTGTTTTTTTTTCTTTGTGCCTTCGTAATGCCATTGCATTTATGTGTTGAACTAAACAAAAATATACATGTATTTTTGAAATAATATGTAGTTTATTACGTGTAGTATGAGCATAAAATACAAAACTTACTTGTTTTTGAAATGATGATCTAATAGACATTTTTTTCCAGTAGACACAGATTTGTAACATAATAGACAATACCTATAACCTTTCCATCTGATGAAAATACTTCTTTATTTTCATTGTAAAGAGCAATCCAATTTGAAATTTTACTTTTTAAAGTTAATTTTATTTTAGGCATTACGTCAAATACGTTTACTGTGCGGTCAAACTGATCAAAGAAATACGTTCTAAGGTGGTACCAACACTCAAACGCACACGAATCACTGCCTACTATGTTGAATTTAATTACCACCATATATATATAGACGCTTATCGCTCACTGGGCTCTCCAAGCTTCTAGAAAATTCGAGACTAATGATAAACACGCCCGATTAAAAAACGTGGAAAAATTTCAAAAACGTCGAAAATTGAAAAAAAATTGCATTATAAAATTAAATAGGCAGAATAATTTTAGTATATATCGGCTATATATTTAATCAGATCTGATTTATCTTTATTGTAAAAAAAAGTTGCCACAACAATTAAATCCGGTCTTTAGTCATGACACACTACATTATACTTTTATTAAATAGCTTGATTCTATTATATAGTTCTTGAATTCTTGATATTAATGAGTTGCGAAAATATTATAATAATTAATAAATCTGTATAAATATCAATGTTTTATGTACCTATGTCTAATATTTTTTGTGTGCATTTAGTGAATTTATAAATTATTTTTGTGTTAATAAGTCTCGAAAATTGTAATTTTAAATTTTTTTTATGTAACTTGAGCAATACCTACTAAAAAGTTATTTTATTGTCATATTATTTAAAATTCCTATAGTACATTTTTTTAACAAAACACATACCAGTGCTCAGAAAACTATTTGAAATTATTGAAACTCATAAGATATTACCTAATTGTATACATACTTTAAAAATTTAAATTAATTAACACTTCATAACTTCAACGTTGTCAACATCAATTAATAATCCACTGAAATGGCAAGATCCATATATTAATTAAATGCAATTATTGCACTCATTGAAGTTTCATAGGTTAGGTCCCAACTTTTCACCTACAACAGTGGCTGGGATACTGCATCCACGTGCGAAGTATGTCTGTCTTCTTTTTTTCTTATGATTTTGATTAGAAATATGAAAATCCAGATATAATTAGTAAATTGGGTATCAACCAAACATCTATGAAGTTAGCCCCTCACAACAACCAAATTGTTCAAAACAAATTCTAAACAAATTGTAAGTTATAGCCCTATAATTGTAATTAATGTAATTTCATTCCTGAAATTTGTAAGTGGACTTTATCTCCTTGATCTCAGTCAGAACAACACAGCATAGAACGCTCACAGTGTTATTCATAAGTTTATTCTCAACCTGTATATTAACCGGAAAAAATTAAATAACCGGCCGTGGGATAAACAATGGGACATATCCTTAAAACTGGGACTGTCCCAATCAAACCGTAACGAATGGCAAGTTTATGTTATTCTAGGTTATGTAGGGTTCTGGATTTCATAAAATTATATAAATGTAGTCACTGTCAGACGACCAATTCAGGTTCTGAAAGAACATGGAAATTTAGCCCATCCTTATCCATACATAACTGCAGTCGACACATTACTCAATTTCATTAACTTGTTTACAGTTTCCTTAATGTATAGATAAATTAAAATTAAAGTTTAACTTGTCATTCAGTCAATTATAGTTATAAAGCCATGGTTAAAAGGTCAAAAAGACTTCAACAAACTTGGCCTAATCCAAATCTGATTTAAAAATACATGTACTATTTAAAAAAAAAAGTAAGTATTTCAGTATTCCCTAACTCTTCTAGAAAACCTCATTTCAAACAAAAAATGTATGTGTTACCTTTAAAGGGAAACACACTGTATTTTACATTTATAATTTATAATGTCAGCATAGAAAATATCTATTGGAGAGAAAAAATTTAAAAAGAAAGAAAGTACCAATGATTTTGTATATAAACTAATATGTATACAAATTTAACAAACAGCTAAAACAAGTATACTTAATGCATATGTTAAGGTAAATGTTGTGAGATCGGTTAATGTTGTTGTATTTATACTTTTTTGTATATTTGTCTATTATTAAACCTAAAGATAAGAATATTGTTTACATGTGTACATTAGCTATTTTACAATATTTTAATTTTCAAGCCAATTATATATTTGTAAAACACTGTAATTTTAAAATCATTCTATCTCACTTAAAAATTAAAATATTGAAAAAAAAAACCAACATATAAACACAAACAATATTCTCACCTTTAAGTTTGATAACAACCAAATAAACTCTTATATTAAAATTAACAGCACAAAATAATAATAATATACAAATATAACAACATTTATCGTAACACATACATTATATTATAATTTGTTACCTATATTATGAAAATATTACATAAATAATAATATAATTTATTCATTATATTATAATAACACATAAAAACAAAACATACAAATTGTTTATGAAATATTTATAACAAAAGTTATCAATAATTAAAAACAAAAATAATTCATTGAGATTAAAAATTGTAAGTAATATTAGTGTTGACAATAATAAATTATTTTCGCTTTCAATTTACAATATGTTTATAATACAACAAATATAAATGTTCAGAATTTTATTTTAAATTTTAGATACACAATTGTGTATAAAATAAATCATAATATGACTATCATATTATTAATAAAAAATAAAATATTTTATAATATTTGATCATTACTAAGGACTGGATAAAAATCCACTTAAAATCTACAAAAACAATGTTTGAAAAAAATAAAAAGCCCTGAAAAATCACTGTAAAAATATTTTAAAAAGCAAACATATTTGAGGGGTAATTTTTTTAAAATAAAATTATATGTATTAAAAAAATTACTTTATTATTTTTGTAGTGATAAGAATATGTAATTTAATAAGTTATAGGAGAAGACTTCTATATCATCTAACATTTTTGCTTTTTTTAATATTTGTTAAGGACTTTTATTTAATTTTCAATTGTTTTTTGTGGATTTTTAACTTATTTAAATCCGGACCCTAATCATTAATATTAGGTAAATAATTATACTTATTATTCATATCATTATTATTATTATTATTATTATTATTATTATCTGTATCTGGTGATCTTAGACTTTAGATAATTTACATACATAAAGGGTGACAGATGTTTAAACATTGAATAGGTAATTATAATGGTAAATATTTGACTAATAATAATTGCGTTAACATATTTGATGTTTTTTCTTTAAATCCCATTTCTTTTTTTGCTAAAAATTATAAACTGTTGTTTTTATTAATTTAAAAGTTTTTAGTATGAATATTTATAATGTAGTTTTTAATATTAATATTTATTCAACGCTTATATCTTTGTTGTATTTTGTCTATTAATTGTTTAATCCCTAAAATAAATAAATAAAAACTAAAATATCTACTAGATACTAAAGTATTAAAGGTATTATTTACACACAATAGTAGAAACAATACCTTTTTATGTAAAACTGTCTTCAGTAACAAATGCAATTTAATTTTAAAACCAATTGCCACTTTCAAAAACTAAAAATGAATCACTATTTTAATGTGTTATTAATATATCTATAATTTAAGTAATAAAATTGATTTTAGAATACACTAAAATACATTATATATTATATATATACATATATATTCTAAAATTAATGGCACTATTTGTGTCTTAAAATATTTATCTCTTAATATATTTATAAGTTAAACAATAAAGTTTATAATTTATTTATTATTTAATAATTTAACAAGTATCTTACAAATTTGGAAGTACCTATTTAAAAATTATAAATATTAAATACTACAATTAGAATATTCTAGAATATTATAGAAAATAGTTAAAATTTTAACTTTACAGCAGGGTTTTAGATTAAAACTTATTATTCTATTGATAAAGTTAACATTCTCGCCTATTAAAATGGATAAGAAAAATGGATGAGATAGAATTCACCTACTTGAATAGGAAAAGTTGGTCTAGAAAACTAAGATCAGCCACCACTCGGGGTGAAAGGAGTGCAAAATATAACCAAACTATCAATTTTAAACATTATTTTCAAGACCTCAAACATAAAACCTTTGAAGTTAGAAAAACTAAAGATAAAAAAAAAGCTATGCAGAAAAATCTGAAAGTATGGAAGATTTTTGGTTGGAAAATGTGGAAGCTGCTTTGAAGCTTGTCAAAAGTAGCAAATCTGCCTATACGAAATCTTATTGAAGTTTAACAAATACTTACCACATAATGGTAAAGTTTGGCTGGCTAGTTTATTTTCCTTAGTCAAAAATAACAAAATAATAACTTAATTATGGCAACAAGCATTCAAATAATTAAAATACTTCAGCAAAGAAAACCAGAAAACAATCAGAAGAGTTATAGACCGATATCAATATTTTCGGTAGCTTATAAATTATTCGAAATAATACTTCAAATTTTACACTTTTGAAAGTAAATATAAAAATGGTACAACATAGATAAATAACCCCCAATTATAAAACATGATGATTGAAAATAAATGATTATTTTATATACAAAAAAAAAAGTTATATAATTGTAATATATCTATATTATTGTATTATTACACATTAATATATCTAATTAGGTATATAAACTATCTAAAACACGCACCAAATAATATTATGTAAAACATAATTTATAAGGCAATAAGTATATAAAGTTCTCTCACTTATCAGCTATCACTTTATTACTGTTATTAGGTTAATTTAATAATGGAACAATAGAATCGTGCGAAAAATGAATGGGCCCTAAATATTATACAGTATTAATAATACAACAATAGAAACTTCAGGCATACCTACTTAATTCACAATGAAATATTACACATGGAATAATCTTAAACTGTAGTTGACAAACTATTGATTTAAACATAAATAAGTTTATTAAAAAAAACTGAAACTGAAAATTAATGAATACATTCATTTATTCATTTTAATATGTATAACTCAGTGTATGTATTATTTCAATCACAAATTTAAGTTATAGAACAAAAACCTTTAATAATATTTATTTATCAAATTTTGATCATAAACATGTTTTACACAAACAAAAACTATAATTAAATTATAAGTACAAATGAACAGGACGAGAATAAATAAAATAACTAGCAAACAAATGTGTAATAAAAACGTAAAAATATAATATTATATTAAATTCCCCACTATATCCTACCTTCCTAACTTCTCACCTACAACAGTGGCTCACCCATCATGCTAATTATGTCCGTCTTTTGTTAATATATCTATTTAATTTATATGTTTTGTTGGGCCAAAGAATTTTAGAAATTGAATCTTATTCTAAATTATGAACTCGAAATAACAAACATGTAATTAGTTCGATAGTCCACAGCATTAAAGATAAAAACCAAAAAAAAATATATATAATTGTACAAATCTAACTTGAGTATAAATAATATTACCTAATTTTCATTATTTCTACTTAATAATTCTATTAATCTATTTTTTTAGGTTTTTTATCCAGTGATCGAACTTTATTGAATTCTCTAACAAGTGAACTTACAGCTTCTTCATGTCCTTCAAAACTATCAGCTTTTCGTAGTCCATCTTGAAAAGTATTAAGATCAAATTGACTGCGAAAAGATTCTGGATCACGACAAAATTTACTCGGTTCCGGAGTCATGGATTTTTTTCGAGTTGGAAATGTTTCCCATGACCTTTGTTTGCGAACAGGACCTGACTTTTTGGATCTACATCGAACTGAATTTGATGTACGAGTACATTTATCACCCTCGGGAGAAGATATACGTCTAGAAAACACAAATTATTTTATATAAAAATTTTATTAAATTTTATATAAAAAAAATGATTCTAAGCGGAGTTTGGTTGATAGTGTTACTTTGTAAACAATATATACAATATTATGGAAAAATAATTACATATGCATTAAACATTTTCTTGAATAATATTTGTTTAATATTCAACCTATTTTTCTGTTTTTCCTAAGTTTTTTTCCCTATTTTCCTATGTTTTCCAAGTTTCTCCCATTAATTGGTCATTAAAAAATGACCTTTCTAAAGTACCGCCCCAGTCAGATTTTCTTTCAGAAAAAGTGCTATCATTAAAAATCTGAGCAAAATTTCTGGTAGAAAAATTGTCCACAGAAAAAAAAAGTGAAAAAAATTATATTTTTAGGTATTTAAAGAATCAACTGTCTCAGTCTAACTAACAGTCAACATAATTAGTAAAACTGATACAACGGTCGCTGGTTTAATTTTATAATTTTTGTTTTTCTTAAAGTTATTATTGATGAATATTGACAGCCAAAATGAAATGGACTTTACAACAATTTTTATTAAAAGTAAATCTTTATACTATTTATCATCCACATATTATACACATCTAGAAAAAAGCACAAAGTTGGTTCTTTACAAATTCTTTCTTGGTATAAAATATATAATAAAAAGTAAGAAAAGTGACTGATTTGGAAAAAAGTGATTGAGTGTCAGCCTTATCATAGAAACGTGAAGCCATTTTAAGTAGATAATCAATTTAATAAGTTTATATAATATTTTAATTACTTAAAAATTATACTAACCTGAATGATATTGATTCTTGGTACATAGCACCATCTTCAGTGTCTGAATGCGGATATCGTTTATACTTTCTCGGAGCAGCTACAGGAATGGGTACAGGATCTTCTGTTGGTAGTGGCATGGCTTTTTTGTGAATTTTTCCTCCTTGCTTACGGCAAACTTTTGTTGCTTCACAACTAATAGTTTCAACTTCTCCAATCATTCCTTCTATATACTCAAAACTCTTTTTGTGTTCTGATTTTTGATATTCTAAACATACAAAAACTTTAGAAATCACTTATCTGAATACAAATAGCTTATTATTCAACTACCCAACTTTTATAATTTGACAATTTTAATTAAATATACCAAGGAAATTAATTAATTATAATAATAATAATAATAACAATAACAATATAATTTATAACCAATGAAAACAAATTTAACTAATAATATCAACGCTATAAAAAATAAAAATTACTCATCCCTTGTATGTTATGCTTATGGTGGGGAAGAGAATTCTATTACAAGATGTTTATCTAGGAATAGGTTCAATACATAGTATATTAAATTTACTTAAATTCTACTTAAATCATTTTTAATTTTTTTTTTTTTTTCAGTTTCATACTATAAATATGAAAAAAAATGTATAGATTGCGCAATTCTAAAAATTATTATAATTGTAATTCTAGAAATTATGTGTTATACAATGTAACTTACAACGTTTGTATTATATTTCACATTATTTTACATTATTATAATATTAAAATTGGTGAAAACTATATGGTATGTTATATTTAATTGTATGGTGTTAGTTAATTTTGTAATGCTCAATAGATATTTAAAAAAAAGTATACCTATATGTATTAAATATTTTGAAGTATCAATACTGAAAATTATGAATAATCTTTATTTCTTTAATTAAACCTAATTGACAAGGATACCAAAGTGTGGAATTATAATCCAAACAAGAACTAGTGAGCATAGTACAATGATTTAAGAATGAAAGGATTAATAAAGCTGTTACAGTAACATCTAATAAAACATAATTGCTTTCATACTTTGTTGATAATTTTCAAAATATGTAAACTAAATATTAAATTTGATTCAAATATAAATCCTAAATCCTTTATACTATGTGTAACAATTGGTAACATTATATTACTAATATGATACGAGAAAATTATTGTATTTTTTTATTTTTTTACAGTGAAAGATGATATTACATTTAGATACAAATCCATTTCTCTATTAGAGCACCAATTTACAACTGCATCAATATCCGATTAAAGTAACTCTAAGTAAACTATAGATTTAATCATTCCAACAAACTTGCAGTCATCAATAAAGAAATATAATTTCACAAAGCATAAAACAGAATTGATATTTGAAAATATGTTAAACAGGAGTGGAGAAAAGTTATTTCCTTGGAGAACACCAGATGATACAAAAATAGGCGATGAAAAAAATTGTTTATATTTTACTATTTGTTTTCTGTTTGTTTCAAATGATGTAAACCATGATAACAACGGATTACTAATTCCAATAGAAATTATCAAATGCTTTTGAGAAATCTGTATAAATCACATCTGCTTGATAATTGTTATCTGTATAGTTCAAAATAGTTTGAAAGAAAGAAATTAAATGTGTATTTGTTGAAAATTTTAAGTTGAAAACATGTTGACTATTAAATATTATATTACTGAACAGAGAACTTATTTTTTTAGAAATTAAATTTTTTTGTGTTTAGTAATATTAAAATGATAGATATTGGACGATATATTTTCAAGTTAACTAAATTACCGGGTTTTTGGTGCATATGTGAGCATTTTGTATAAAATATTATCAGATGTATACATTCATTTAAATCATAGATATATTAATAATATAGAGTGTTTTTTAGGCAATTTACTACCCTTCCCTACTCCTCTGGTCTAAACTTTAAACTATTATAACTCATAAATGGTAAATTTAATATTATTGTTATGTATATGAACATTTTTAGAAAAATATTCTCTATTTAAATCTGTGTTCAAAAGGGGGGTTCGTATTTGAAAATCAAAAGTATGTACTTATTTAAGATACATGAAGTAGGGTAAAAAATTAAAAATTGTTTTAAAATAAGGCTTAAACAATTTCATAATGATTAAGAGAAAAAGAAATTAAATTCACTTAAAATTCTGAGATAATTATTGGTTCATAAATAAAAAAAACACCCTGTATATAGTTATTATCTATGATTTACATAAAATAAATTTTAAAAAAAACTTACAAAAACGTGTATCATTAAAAACTAATAGTTATTCTTTTCACTTAAATTAATTTTAAAAATATATCAATGACTTTATATTACCTTTATCATCATCTATAAGCTCAACATTTAATTTTTTTTTCAAATGATCTTTTAAATATTCTCTCAACTTATCACACATTTCAACGTTCGAATTCTAAAAAAGATAGAAAATTTTTTTTTAAAAAAATGTCACAAACATAATGTACTCTACTAAACCTTTTCATGTATATTAGAAGTTGATTGTGCAACAGAATGTTGTAGATCACGAATATCTATCATTTGATATAATGAACATGCTCTTGTATTTTTGACACATTCTTCACTTACAACTATAAAATGATTACAACACTAGATACAATTTATATAAGTTTATAATAAATAATACAATAAAAGAAATATCAGTACCACTTTTAGATTTTCCTCTAATTGGACAATCTTTTATGCGACCTTCAGATTTACTTCTTTCTCTAAATTCTTGAAACGTTTTGTCCCGTACACAAACTTTATCCACAATATGAGACATTACACCCTTTTGTAATTGTGTTTTATGAAAGTATAACATTTGTTGATCTTTTTCTCTAACTGGAGTTTCTGGGCGGTTATCTTTTGCATACATTGTGTCAGATAAAGGTGAGGAACTACTCATACAATGTGATTCTAATTTGTGACATCCCATAGGAAACCTACATAATAAAACAAAATTAAAGTTAATACATGGAGATTATGCATATTTCATGACTAGAAGAAAATAATAGGTACAATAAATTGTGTAGAACACATTAAATAATTTATAAATAAACAAATTACCTTTGAGATTGCTGCAGAGAACTAAGACGATCCAATAAACTCTTTAAATCAGCCATTTCATTATTACTAGGCTTGGATGTTAAACGTTTGACATAAGGATCTAATTGTTGTGCCAAAGTAGCCAATTGTTTAACTTCACTTTGCAAATTTGTAATATCAGTCATCTAAAAATAAGATAGATGAATTATTTACAAGCAATTAATGTATGAACTTAAATATGTGAAATAATTTAAATTAAACATGCTTGTGACTGGAATATATCTTGTTCAACATGGATTCTATATAATTGTTCTTGCCAAATAGTTTGGAACACCGATCTTAGTCTTTCTAGTTCTACTCGATTTCTTTCAAGAGTATCATTTAACCGTAGACAGTCTCTAATTATATTTTGATGTCTCAAAATCAAAGGAGGCACAGCTGGAGATTTAGTACCTTGAAGAGCTCTTACTTCTCTTTGTAGTTCATTTAAACGATCTTTCACACAATTCAATTGAGTTCCCAATTCCTTAATAAATACAATGGACAATACTTATTGAATTTTTTTAAATACTTAAACAAAATATATTTAAAATTATTAATTTGTATATATTATACATTACCTATAATCTAAATATGAATAATTTATAAATTTACCTTGATCTGGGAGTCAAAACTTCGACAATGATTAGAAAAAGGTCCTTCGCCTTCTAATGCTTTAGCTTTAAGAGCAGAATGTTGTCTTTTGCTGGGTAATGTAGAATTTGATAAGTTAAGGTTTTCTTTAGATTTAGCTGTAAGATTACTTATACTTTTTGATGATTCATATATACCAGAATCCATAAGATCTGATTTACCAAACCATGGTTCTAAACACTGAGCAAACTCAGAACGGTAATTAGTTTTTATTGTGCTGGTCAATAGGGGTCTACAAATAAATAACTTACATTATTGTACTAATACAATAGACAAATTATTATACAAAAAAATTACTTTGTTGGTTGAGGAATTTTTACTATAGTGTTTAATCGGTCGAGCATTAAAGACACAATTTCAAGAAAATAATATTTATTTGAAGTTGAAACAAAGTTTCTGCAAAGAACAATGTGATGTTGCAAAATTGGAAGCACTGCACTTAAAGTCAAAAGCTGATTACGAAAAGCCCTTTCTTTTATTTCATATTGTCTGCAAAAAACATAGAAATAAAATATTTGAAATTGATAAAAAATGTTCTAAAAAGAGGCAAAATATTAAATTTAATACTATTGTGTATAATCATGTGTGAATTTTAAACTGTGATTGATTGAAAAATAAATTACCGTTGAACTTCTAAATGCATGTCAGTTTGTATTTTATTAATAGCATCGTGGAGTGTTTGCACAAAATTATGAATAGTTAATTTTTCTGTGTCTGTATTTTGTCGCAGCTCTTCTAGCAGTGTGTGACAAGCAACTACACCTTCTCGAATTGTGGTCTGCATATCATAAACAGACTGAAACAGATTTATAATAAGTATAGAAGTTCAATAATCATAGAAAACATATTATTTAATATCACTTACTAAAAGTGCTCTATCTATTTTTTTCAAATTTTGGTTATAAGCTACATCTATGTCTATGCATGCCTTGCGACTTTCGAGAGGCTTTTCGCGTACGCAACTGGTACAAATCACATGTTTTTGAGTATTTGAGAAATAACTGATCTTTTCATCGTGCTTTGGGCACTACAGAAATTTATATACTTATAATATTGATTTTATTTACATATAATTACATAAGTACACTATTAAAAAAACACTATTTCATTGAAATTTGACTTACTATTTCCGTTTTGTCTACCAAGCGCTTTGACATTTGTACAATATCATGAGAAGAAAACATTTTAGCACGATGAGTATTTTCTCGGCAGGACTTACATAATGCTTGACCTAAACAGTATAAGTACATACCATGCATTGTTAGGTATGCATTGTTTTATTACTACATTCTTTAAAAATGCACTTACCACAAGTGGAACAAAAATACATTGAGGGCGGATCACGTTTGTCACAGTTGGCACATGGAGGGTTCTCAATGTTTACCATTTCAATTAGTTTACACATTAAATAATCGGGAGGTGGTAACTGAACACCCTCTTTCAATGTAGTTTGTGTTCTAAAAAAATAATTGATAATTTTAAAATATGGGTTATAAGTTATACTATAGATAATTTGAACAGTATAGGTGATAGTGTACAAATATATAGTAAATTAAAATGTTGACCACTTTAAAGGAGTTAAATGCACTCTACCACACCCACATGATCTTTAAAAAAAAGGCTCTTGTTTCCAGATGTTTTTAAATGGTTTTTCTAAATTATTAATATTTTAAATATTTTGTGAAAATTATCAAAATCTCAATTTAAAGTTATTTACACAAGTCAAACAAACAACAACATACTCGGTTTTATTATATTTTTTAATTAAATTGTAATTAATTTAGTTCTTAATAAAAATCAAACACATAATAAAACCAATAGATCACTTGCTACACTCCGAATCTAAAATGCTATGTCTATATCATATTAATATGACTATGATAATAATAATAAGAATTTTTAACGGTCAACGATCAATTTATTACAGAATAAAGTTTATTTTAAATAAAAAAAACCTTACAGAATGAAAAAGTTCCTAGAACTATGAGTTAATATAGAAAAATTCCTCATTTCCCTAAAATGATTGGAATTCTCTAAAACTAGGGAACTGTGTACCCGGTTTGCGCAGCTTTCCATTGGCAGAATAAATGACGCCAAATCTATTTTGATATGGTTTGATCAATCATGATAAAATAAATTTATTTTACCATATAAATATGTGATCTCCAATTTATCAGTTATCAACTAAATTACAGTTTCAAAATTTACCATTTGAAGTTTTTTAATATTTAGTCTGTACGAGAACTAATAGTACAAACTGGTACAAATTATATAAACAGACCTTGTATAATTTCATAATATACAAAAAAAAATATAACCTAAATAAAAATAATACATTTATTAACTGGAAATCATTGTTTTCGTAGGCTGCTTAATTTAAATACCTAATGTAAGTATATTAACACTCTTTAACATGTATAATGTTTACAGAATAAATTAAAATATAATTAACTAAATAGGTAGGTACCTGCCTAATTAAAAAAAAATATTTTATATTATAAATTATAGTTTAATTTAGTGCACTTTATATTGTAGTTATTTTTACTTTACTTTACTTTACTACTTTTGATTTTCAATTAGCAACCTATATTTAAAATTCTATAAATAGATCAAGTATTAGTTAAATAAATTGCCCAAGGACAAATCATTTATATTTTTGCAGTCATTGTAAAACATTCAAAAATAAACCACCTCATAAGTTTATTAAAACACATCACACAAAACAAGTATTATACTGTTGTGAATATTGCAATATCACATTTTTGTGTAGTACTGAAGTATTAGATAACCATTTATTAAAAGCTGAACATCTAACATTAAAATGCATATTTTTATAAGTTAAATATTCAAGTGAACAAGTTGGAAAAACATATTAGTAATACTCAAGATACAAAAGAACATAATAATAATCTTGATGTACAACGTAATCCATTGAAATTGTCATTAATTATATTGGATAAATTTATGAATACTTCACAGTTTATGGTGAAATGCAAGTTGTATAATATTGTTATCAACCAAAATGTTGAAGAAATATTGGATCATACAATATATAAATGCACAAATAAAAGTTATTTATCACCAAAAATGCATAAAACAGTAATTGAAACATACGATTGTAGAATATGCAACTATACAACTCAATCTTTTTCTGATTACAAAATTCACATTATCTCGTTGATGCATATAAAAAATTATCATAATGTGACTAATGTGTATTCATATTATTGCACAATTTGAAATGTATATATGTATAGTTCAAAATGGCTAGTTAAAATGCATTAGGAATCTCATAATAAAAATTATACTGGTCTCTCTCATATATCTACATTTTTAGCAGCAAATTTTGAGCATGTAAGGAACCACTCAGATGAAAAATGTATAGAATATTTTATTAAGGTGGGTCATTCAACTGTAGAACCACACTATGAAGAAAATTTACCAATCATCCAATGTTATATTTGTAAAATAAATTTTAACATGTGTATTAATGACTATAATTTACAGGAGATTTCTAGTGAACATGTAATTTTAAAATATTTCACACCAAAATTACCATCACTTCCCTTAAGAAATATTGAAAAAGATATTGAAGAACCTTCACAATCTGAATATGAGTCTTCAGCAAAAAATAATATGATTTTATAAAAACTTCAATCAAATGAATGTAAATATTAAAACAAAATAAAAATTATTTAAATTTCTTATAATTAAGTTAAATTGTTAATATTTTAATTTTTTTTTTTTTTTTAATCTGGATACATATTTGTCTACAATGCTTCAGTGTGTATTCAAGGTGTTCCATTTAAGTGTCTACATTAGATATTTCAAAATAATTTCTGTTTCTTTATTTTTAAATTTCCGTTAACCCATTGATAACGTATTCCATTTTTAAGTTATTTTAAGTGGAAAGTTTAGCATCGTTTCTATATTGTTGAGATACACAACATATGAATAATACTCCTGTACTCATCCCTCAGCCAAACTTGAAAGTGCAATATAAGGTTAACAGGTTGACAAAAATTAAAAATTTTAAAAGAGATTTCAATTATGACGTCATCCATTTACGGCATTTTTAATATGAGTGGCTATTGGAAAGTGTGTAGTGATTAAATCCCCTAAAATAAGTATAATAAATAATAATGGCAATGTAAAATTTTAGAGCATAAATCGTTTTTTGAATTGTTCTGAAAACCAAATTTCTTAAAAACTCTTATTTTAATACTTTTTGAAATATTGAAATATAACTAAATAGATCATTCTGTACAAAAAATAAAAAAGTTTTTTAAGGCCTGAAAGAAAATGATGAACTCTGTGGGAAAAATGAAATTTTTCCGTCTGAAAATGATTATACAAATAAAATTTAATCAATAATTCTTAAAGCAGTGAAAATAAAAATACTCATGTAAATATTTAAAATATTATACTCAAAGTACAGTTATTTAAATTTTAAATTTATTATTGGTTTAGATATTTGATAGTGAGAAAATTAAAAAAGGATCAAGGTTAAAATCTATAACAGATATTTCATTGATTAATGCTGCTCAAGGTACCATTAATATGGATCATAATGTATCAACAAGTAATGATAATTTGAGTTTCGAAAATTCGGTAATTTAAATACTTGTATTATTAAATTTAGTACTTATTTAACCTGTGAAAAGATTTGCATTTTTATCAGATGTAAATATTATATATTGTTTTAAGTACCATTATAAAATAAATGTTTTATTATTTGCTTTAATGATTTACAGATTTAAAAGTAATAAGCGAAATATAATATTAATTTTAATTAATTAATTAGTTGTTTGTCTAATAATAACGCACAAAATAATATTTTTTTATCAGTGGATAGAAAATGAAAAGTCATAATTAATTTTTGATATATTTTACAATTGTATAGATAAAATTCCTAATTTTTTAAAACTAATAAATAGTCTAAAATATTTAATGATATTCTAACATTATTACATTAGGTATTGAAATATCATGTAACATTTTATAGTTAATTAATATTTATTAATTTGCAGTAATATTATTTATTTTTAATTTTGTTTTTTCAGACAATTAGCAGTATCAAAAATAGTAACATTTATTAAGAATCATTTAATGACAATAACAGAAATATTTCTCAGAATTGGGATAAGCAACTAAAAACTAGATATTGATGAATTATATGGTCTCTATGTTACACATACACATGACTCGCAAAAATACAAAATGTCACTCTGAAATGTAATATTAAACTTCAAATATCCAACCTATTCTATACTAAAATAAATGAACTGACTAAGAAAACTACTAATAAAGTTAAAAATGAATGTTTATTTGTAAAATGTATTACTGTGCACACAAGTTATTATAATTATTCATGTTAAATTCAAATTTATCATATTTAAAATAAGATAATCATAAATTAAGTTTTTTACTTTAATCTTTCAATTTTTATCTTAAGGTTTTAAATATAATTACCAAGTTAAAAGTGTAATTTTTTTATTTTTAATTTACAAATATTTTTACAATATGTAGATTGACAATAATATAAACAAATATTTAATTATAAATAGTAAAGATTTTACGAAACTCAAATGTTTTGTATGGTTTGTCTGTTGTTCATTATATAACAATGCACTGTCTATACTTGTACCATCATATTATCTTCTCTAAATATTTTTAGCCATTTCTAATATTTGATTCTGGAAAAATCAAAAAGTAATCTCTAGAGAGATCTTTACTAGCCTATTTTTGGAATTTATTAATTATTCCAATATTCAGTATTTATAAAAATATGAACTTCCTGTCGAAATGAGAAAACACACAACAGTACCAGTCTAATTTTTATTTTATTTAGTTTAAAGAAAAATTGTACAATACAATTTTTCATGTTTTGAGGTTAGGTTTTGTTGGGCAGGATAAAAAAAACCAAGCCCCTTGAAAAATTCGACTTTACGGGAAACAAAAAATTACCTCCATGTAGTAACCCGCCAGTAAGATTTGCTTAAAGAAAAAGTGCAATCATTGTAAATTGGAACAAAATTGCTGGTAGAAAATTTCTTCACGGGATTAAAAAAGGTCATATTTTTCTATTAATACGTACATTTTGTATATTTACTCGATTTTCCCGTACGGAAAAGTACCTTCCCAGTCCGATTTTCTTTTAGAAAAAGTGCTACAATTGTAAATCGGTGCAAGATTTTTAGAAGAAAAGTTATTCACAGAAAAAAAAAATTAAAAAAATAAACATTGTAAAACCATAAATTTCGGTCTACTTAGAATCTAAAAAAAACCCAAATGCCGTACAATTTGTTTGCGAACATTTTAGCATCATTGAAGATATGATTTCAAAATTTGAAATAGACACAATTTCAGTTGAAAATTCCGGAAATTTAATTTAAAGTTCTCCAATATTACCTATACTAACCTTTCTACTTATTAACAAAAACAACAATTATTTATTCACAGGGCCTGATTAATGGATTTGCTATCAGTTGAGGTTAACTTGGCGATGATCTTTTTTTTTTTTTACTATCATCACCAAATCTTCGCTCCTTTCTCTCTCTCCATAAATTATTTCATACCCCTCCCCCAAATAGGTCTGGCTACTCCTTTGGTCATTGATCTATCTCAGATACGAGTTTGAAAAAATCAATTTAAAAAAAAAATTGTTTTGTGCCCCCCCCCCTATTTAATGCCACCTTAGGTTGCAGCCTATTAGTTAATTAGGCCCTGATTATTATTCATCATATAGAACAGACAGTGGCGTACCCAGGAATATTCAATGGGAGGAGATGTAGCAAATAAGAATCGTGAATAAATCGTAATATCGAGGACTTATGTCAATTTAATATAATTTTTAGTTCAAGCAAATCTAATAAATTATTTGATAAATCTAATATTTGAAAATCAATAAATCACACAATTGCCAAATTACCTAACCTAAACATGGCATTATAAATGGCTTATGTCATATAATTATGGGATTTATACCTTTTTGACAGCAAAAAATACAGTACAGTGACTGAAATATTTTATTTTCAATGTAACATATGTTAGAATACACATGTCATTTAGATCAAAATGTAATGGGAAACAAATTATTTAAAACAAAATTATAAATAAAAAAATTCCATAAATGAACCCTTCTTCCATAGTACCAGAGGTATACGTTATTATTATACCTAGGTCAAGGTATTTGTAAAATATTCACGTTATACAAGTACTATAAATAACAACTCATGCGTTAAACTCATATGATAATTGCACTTATGGTTACCTATATACACGGAGCAATCGTATCAGGATAGCAGATTTTATAATGCTCCGTGTTTATAGTGTTTAGGCAACAAAACAGTGTATTAGGAAGCTTCTGTTAAGTACATTTATTTTCCTTCATCTATGACATTAACGCGTATTTAGTAATAATATTATTAATCTTAAAGCATTGTATATAAAATAAATTGTATAAATGAGTTATATAACGTTACCCGCATAGAGGACAGCTAATCTTGCAGTTCTGATTTTTGCTTCGGAGGCATTTAGCACAAAATGTGTGGAAACATATCAAAATACAAGGGTCATTGTAGTAGTCCTCACACAAAAAGCAAAGCAGAGGGTTGCGACTGGATGCCGCCGATCCATCACCGATTGTCGTGTCCGTGGACGCCGTAGCCAGGGAAGCAGCTACCGCATCTGACATCCCTTGCAAATTATTTGACGGAGACGTCATTTTCACGGAAAAATAGAACACGGAAGTGCGGTCAGAACCGCAGAATATTGTAGAGTCACTGTATACTATACTATAGCTGTAGTCGACAGGCAGCAGCGAATGATCTGATCGGCGCGCGCCGCTGTTTGCAGGACTGCAAAACTCCCGCTGGCCGCTGCAGCATCGTATTGACCCCCTGAAATTATCGAGTGTCGGCAGTGTCGCGCGCGGTGCGAAAACCGCGCGCATCCAGCCCATGGAGGAAATACTGTTCGGGTAATACCGTTTCTTCCAGTGAACAGAGCGCCTCGTAACCCCATTACCGCGACCGTTCGCAAAATAATATATGACACAGAGTCATTACACCTATTTATTCGTTAATATAAGTCTATGCATGGAATTTGAATAGGCTTATAAATAATATAAACTAGTTTATAACCTGCCGGTTTTGTTCGCCAATTTGTCGTAGCCCTCCCTACGGGGAAAGGAGGAATAGCTTACCCAGACCCCTGGTTAAGGACAAGGGGCACAGCTCACAAGACTAGGGGTTTCAGTTTGTTCCATAGTATGTATTATATTATGGTTTTTAGCTTTTATACATTTAATCATTAACTTTATATTTTTTGATATTTTATTGCTTTTAATGTCTTTTTGTTGATGAATTTTTGTGGAAATTATTAGATATCTCTATAAAATGAAAAATATATATATATATATACCTATATAATATTATGTAGGTTTTATGTATTATTGTTTTTATTACATTAAAACATGAGTAGGTAGGTAATAATTTTAATTTCTGAGTAGAGCGAAGAAACTTATGGTTTTACAAATATGTTTTTTTTTCTATGGTACAACTTCTCTGCCGGAGATCTTGCTCCAATTTTTAAGTGTAGCATCATTTCTGAAAGGAAATTGATGTGGACTTTAGGGAGGCCATTTTTCGATTTTCTCAAAAATTTTACCCTAAAAATGTGAACAAACGGGAAAAACCATGAGAAAATAGGAAAATGGGAAAATTGGTATATCAAACAAATATTATTACAAAAAATATGTGTACCTATAATGCTTATTTAATTATTTCACATAATAAAGTTGATAAAGCAACACTATCAACTAAACTCCGCTCAGAATTTTTCGTTAGCAATGGTTTATCGTTGCTTACAAGTATACATTAAATTACTTATAACAATGGCTGCATCCGACCTTATTATTTTAGGAAAGCTTTTTTAACAATTGTTTTTATTATTCTTTTCTAGGGCCTCTAAATGTCTTATTTCGGACTTGCACTTACCTATCTTAAACCCAAATCTGAATACCTGATACTACTGCAAAGACTATATTTTAATCCTAATTGTAAAATTAAACCTCACACATGTTTGCCCCTCCTCCCTCTGAGATGGTCATATCTAGTATACAGTCGTCAAAAAATGGTGAGAAAAAATTAAAAAATGTAAATAAACAGAATTTAAAATATTTCGCCTATCTATATCGAACACCTACACGATGTCTATTTGTAAAACCATTGATTAAATTTATTATAAGTATATTTAATCAATGATGAAACATAGTAAGTGCCACTTTACAAAAATGCATTTATTATTTTAATTAAGCAGCGTTTACTGTGTCTATAAATAGACAGCCATATACTAAATTTAATTTGTCATGTCGTTTACCTAATGATATTTCATAGATCAACATTAACCATATTAACCATCCACTCGATGTGAGAGAGTGAATGAAATAAAGAGGCCGTGTGACATGATTCAAAATTTGCCCGCCGTACTCGTAGTCGGTTGTTGAGAGAGAGAAAGCTGTCGAACCGTGAACGCGCGCGCGCGCGCCAAATCCCATAATTTTTATCAATAATATCGTTTATAATAATATCAACAGTACAGACGTGCAGTGAATAATAGAGAACTGACTATTTAGACTAGTTTATTCATTAGTCGTTATTAAAATATAACATGAATTGGCGCACGCGTTCAGTCATTTGACGCAAAAAAAAAACATCGATATAGACTATAGACTCAACGTTTGTTTGTAGATCAATTATTTTCATTGTTGCCCAATACAACTGTCGTGCAATATATTATCATGGGACCAAAGCCTGAGGACATTTTGAGCGGATTTCAAGTGTAAGTGGATATTTACCATTAAACATTATATACAGTATAATGTTATATAGTTATTTTTTATCTTTCAGCAATTGGATGAATTTGAGAGATGCTGATACAGGAGTCGTATTGTGGCAAGGCAATGATGATCTGTAAGCATATTATGAATATCTAATCTCGATATGTATAGTATGTATAATTTAAGTTATATATTTTTTTTATTAGTTCACTTCCTGACAAAGAACATGAAGCCAGGGTACCTAAAAAAATATTAAAATGTAGAGCTGTATCTAGAGAGATTAATTTTTCGTCCATTGAACCTATGGAAAAACTTCGGCTGCAACAAAAAGTGTTATTCAAGGTAGATGACTGTCAAATTATTATTAGTTAACTGTTTTTTTTTAATTTTAATATTAAAAAATAGGTTAGTTAGGTTCTTATAAATGAATATTTAATAATTTTAATTCCTTATAAATTGCAGGGTCGCTGTCTCGAAGAGTGGTATTTTGAATTTGGATTTGTTATCCCCAACTCAACTAATACCTGGCAGTCGCTCATTGAAGCTGCACCAGAATCTCAAATGATGCCTGCCAATGTTTTAAAGTGAGTTTTACTAAATTAAATCAGTTATCTAATATTCATTGTTATACAATATTATATACAATTACTTCTTGTTAATTGTTACACATTTTTATTGTGTATATGTTACATACAAAGTCTGGAGTTGTATATTTAGCAATGTGTACAAAAATCACTACACATTGTGAAATAAAATAAAATATGTGAAACTGTAGTAATAGTTATTTTTTAAAAGTATTTTCCTAATAAATATTACATATCGGTATATTATATAAAATAGATGTATCTAGGTCCTTACATATTAGTAAACTATATTATTATTATCTCTTCTGAGTTGTTTCCCAAGTTATTTAACATAATTGGTGTAATGCAATAAAAATGATTTAGTTTATCTAAACGACTTAGAAACATAACTTAAACAGACTTTAGTACAGATTAGTGTTTTGTACACTGCACTGTTGTAGTATTTCAACGTATATTATTGTGATTATGCAGTCAAAATGAGTGCAGTTGAAAATAATTTTAATTTTAAGTTTGTATGTTGAAAAAATTAAAAATATTAATTTTAGTGTAAATTCAATGTCCATAATGTTAATAAAAAAGATTACAAAAAAATAATAAATGCCATACTTGAAGTTAAGCATTGAACATATAAGACTTCATTAGACTATAGACTTTGAGTCATTACATTGATCGGAAAATAATGAAGTTAAATACTATTTATATACTGATGAAATGTATACAATGTTCATGAAAAGTCACATAAAGAAACGGTATGGTGGACTTCATAAAATGATTTATAATTTCAAACATTAATACATCACAACTTGTTTTAAATTATTTTTAAACAATTGTATAATGTGTTTAAAAAAAGAGGATTAATTGTTAAACCTATAGTATTTAATGACGTCAGTGTACGTGAACAGGTCAATTTAATTGATATGCCGTCTTGCAATGACTGCGGGTACAGATTTATATTAAATTACCAGGACCATTTATCAACATTTTTAATGTGTACAAACACATAAGTTTAAAGGAAGATAGCTTTCCCTAGGCGTTGGTAGGAGTTGCAACCCCAAAGTTGGTATAGACATTGTTAATATGGACATTAATTATACTAATAAATCATCCCTATTCCTATTAGTTCTATATCATGATCAGCAAACACAAATGTTATTTGTTTACCTGATATTAATTATTGAATAATGAATGAGTATTAACAGTAATGTGAGTAGAAGCTGCTTATTAAAAACACGAATAGTTAATACAATCACGTTATTGCAAAGAAAATGTATGGGTAGGGACTGATTATGTTTTAAAAGTAATCGTTTATTAGAAACAATCGGTTAATTGACAAATTTCTCCTCAGTCCCAAAGTATTCCTAATAAGCGACTTCTACTGTCATTTATAACTATATTTTATAAAACTTATATCAGTATAATAGATATGATAAGTATTATAAATTGATTCATAATTTTGAATTTGTTAAAATACTTAAGTAAAATATTGGTCGTTCTGCAAGCATAATTTCTATTACTGGAATTGAACCATTAGATGGTATTGTATGTAGGCACTCTCCCTATATTTGTGTTTGGCTTAGTATTATTTATTGAATATTTTTATGCTTAGTGATGACATGATATGATGTCCATTGTTTAATTTAAAACATAAAAAAATGTACACAACTTAAAAAATTACATGTTTCATAGTTTTTTTGTTGTATCTCAAAAAAATGAATACATATGACTTATTATGAAAATATTATTAGACTTGGGATAAAAAAAAATCTATGTTCTTGCTGTTACAGCCTGCCCAGTAACCAATACCATTTTTGCGCGGTTTTTAAAATTTATCATTTTTAGGATTATTAAATTACCAGGGTTCGTAAGTTTATGGCCTAAAGTATGCCTAAATAAGCATGCATTAAAAATTGACAAAATATGTTATACAAATTTTAGAAATATGCTGTTTTCTCATGTAGCAAATTAAACATGCAAATGCATGAACATACGAGCCTTGTAGATTACTATGCTATTATTTTTAATTATTTAATATCAAATATTAATTTATATTTATATACATTTTTTTCAGTGGTAATATTGTGATAGAAACAAATTTCTATGATGATGATTTGTTGATATCTTCATCAAAAGTCCGACTATATTATGTATAAACATCAAGATATTCAATGTTGTGCACTACTCAAACTTAAATAGATAATTTTTGCTTGGCACGTGAAACCGAGAACACGGAAAATAAGTTCCCACTGCTGTGATTTTGTTTAGTATTTTAATCTAATTCATTTTATATATATATATATATAATTTGTCTTTTTAATTGCTTTAAGTGTTTAATTTTATGTTTATGCATTTGAACATTATAAAATAGAAAAATTATGACCATGCAGTGTCAATAGTAACAACTGCACGTCAGTTCTGTACATTTGATTTATTTCTAAATGATGATGCAATGTACACAAATATTGAACTCTTTAATAATTAATGAGTATCTATTTTGTTTTTATAAAAACTTGTCACTTGTAGATAATACATACTATTATAATAACATTTGACCAAGGTTGTGAATCCCTTATTGGTTTACATTATTTGTATTTTTACAAGACTGTCGAGTGCTGGTCAAATTATTGTTGTCTGGCACATACATTATAATATTGTACTTATAACAAATAAAATGTTTTAATTCTTACTCAATAAATTATATGAGTTAAATAATAATCAACTATATTTTATTATGTGCAGTAGAAATTGTTTGTATATATTAGTATATGTTTATCAAATACAATTGTTTAGTTCCGTGTTATTAACAATACATAACAAATATTAAAAAACTAAAACAAACACTTGTTTTGGTAATCAATGTTTAAAGAATAAAATGAAACTAATAATTAGAGCTTGATAAACTGGCATAGTATTTATTATTAATTTATAATATTGGAAAACTGCATCAATCTTATATTTTTTACAAGCTGAAATACCTGAAATTTTTAAGTTTTAAAAAAAAATTGACAACAAAATAGTCAAAATAGACAACAAAAAAATGACAAATTATAATTATATTTTTTCTTTGCTCTTAAAATCGCAATTATGAACAATGCTCAAACTGTATTATTTTTTTTATAAAGCATAAGTATTTACAAATTTTAGAATATTTAGCAAATCCAGTTTTATCATCCAGAAAGTACTGTCTCTATTTAAATATACACTTTTTAACCAAGTTACTTACTTTCATGAGTATAAAGAAACTTCCTATGAAAATTGAGTGTAAAAATGTTTGGAGGAGTTGAAAGTTAAAACCATTAAAAAACATCCTTGATATTTACATATGCAAAATTTCATACCTTTGGTTTCATTTGGGGAGTTTGTAGAGGTGTATTAAGCTAAAAAATAATATATTTTCCAACAAAGATAAGCAATTTATATCTAAAATCAACTTAAATGTTATCTTTTTAATTTGACTATAAAATATTCAGATTTTTAAGTTTGAGGTGATTTGGTTCATTGAGTCGACAAAATTTTTTATTATTAATGAAACCATTTACTTATTTATTTAGCTTAAACTAATGAAATTGTAGTATTAATTTTGTTGCAGCTGTGTAGTTTTATCAGAGTTAAATCAAGTATTTATAAAATTCCTTTTTTTTTTTTTAACATACACTTAATAAAATGTATAAAAATAAGCTAATATGATGTAGTATTTCAATAATAATAATTCATAATAAAATAATAAAGTAAAAATAAAATTATTAAAATGAGTCTCGTTTTACATTTTGACTGATATACCTGATAATGGATTTTTAATTCGAAACACTCCAAGCGACACATTCATTCTTTTATTTTTTTATTTAATAATAATACATTTGACAAATTAATAAAATAGTGAAACAATAAAATCCACTAAAAAAAGGTAATGTATTAGTTACATAAACATCTAAAAGACAGAACAAGTTTTGTTGTGTATAGTTTAAGTATCCATTTCACGAAAAATTATATTAATATTTAATTATATGAAATCATGGTTCAATTTTGCTTTAAGAATATTACATAACACAAACACAATACAGTGCAATAATTTCAGGGAAAATATGATAAAAAGAAAAACAAATATTAATCAATCAATTTTTAGTAGTGTATTTATAATATAATTATAATGTTAAAGATTATAGGTTTTTCAATTATGTGTCATGAACATATATTCTTTTTTTTTTTAATACAACTATATAATTTCATTTGGAAACATTTAGTGCTTTTTTTTTTTTAAAAGAAATACAAGTAAAATTAGTGGAATAAAAAAAAAAAATCTTCCTTATACTCTAACTAATTTTGTCTATTTACAATTATCTTTACACAAAGACACAATTTTACAATAAAAAATAATGACTAATTACTAACTTTTAGATTAATATAAAATCAAGTCTTGATAGATAGGCAAATATACATATTAGGAATACTGCAACGGAAAATATTAATTTGGCAGTGAATAAGTATTACTTAAGGAGTATTACTTCTCCGGTGATTTATCTAAATCTAAACCTTTAGTCTTAAGAAGTATTTTTGTGTATGGGGAACCAAGTAATGCCTCACCCCTGTCAGCTTCAGGATTTTTATTTGGAGTTACAGGTTCCAAAACTGTGTCCTTAATCTTTTTTGGTGACTTTGGTTTCTTTACTTTTTTGTTTCTAACTGGTGACCGATACGCGTTAATTCGATTACTAGTTTGTCTAAAGTTATATCTACCCAAACTTGGTTGTTCTTCATTAGTTTTAAAAGCCCCATTACACAATTTTTCACACGAACAACATTCACAGTTACTATTATTTTCTCCAAAAAAATTTCTACCATAAAAACATGTAATTTCCTCACCAGGTGCAATATTTCTGAGCACTTTTACACAAGCAGTCCCTTTATCATTTGCAACGAATTTACAATTAGCTTGGCAATCATGATTAATGTATGCTGCTGGACCAAGCCAAAGTTGAGCACACTTTTTGCGACAACTATACATCACTGAAAAATCATTCTTTCCAATATGCAAGATTTCACCTTCTTCTTTTTCAGTCAACTCAGCAACGCAACCAACTAATCTCTTAATAATTTCATCTTTACACCAATAATTAATGGCAATAACTTTGGCTCCTATATTATTTTCTAATGAATACCTATGGCATGGTTCAATAGTAAAACCAGAATCTGTGTAAAACATTCCCATATACCTTTCAATATGGTCTTTGACTAATTTTTTATAAAATTCTTTATACAAACGTTTAGGTTTAATATAATTTTTGTTCCAGAAAGAATCAAAAGCTATTTGCATATTAGGATTTTTTTGAAAATTATCAATAATAGATTGTAACATTTTACGGTCATAACATTTTTTATAATTTATATCCATTTTGTGGGTTTCAAATCCAAGGAATACATCCACAACCAAAGATGTAGCCAAGTCATCAATATCACACAGATCTTTAGGTTTCATAGTATTGATTTATCTGAAACATATATGTTTTTATTTAATATTAAAATAGTTATTAAAAAATATAAAATAATCATGGACCTATCAACCAATGAAGGATTAATTTATAATTCTAAAAGCCACTTAATGTAGCTCTTAAATATATTTGATCTTTGAATACTCTTCTATTCTTTGGCATCCATAAAATATATCCAATGATTTTTACTTAGGTTATGACGTTTCCTTTCTTTTGCAGACTATATTTTAATAATGAAAATCCTCAGAAGGAATGCTTTATTCTTCTTAAATACTTAAAATTAGACACATTGTCAATAGTTTCTGCCAATAAAGTATTTTTAATCAAGCAAGTTAATGGCTCTAATTAGGTTCTAAGAGTTGTTTTTTGTTCCTCATCCCAAATCACATATCATATATATATAATTTATTCAATCCACAACACAATGAACCATATTAATGAAAACCCTATTATTTAACCTTGATTGTATTTTATTTTGTGAAATTATGTATATTATTATTATATGTAACAATGTACATTCCTTATGTTTGGGCATTGTCCATTAAAAATTAAAAAATTAAATAAACTTAAACAATTGTCTCATATGATAGAAATATTTGTCTGTAAATAGAAAATAAACAAGTTAAATCAAATAATGTGGTTTTATATGCTAAATAAATATATTTCTTCTGAACTAGGTACTGTAGTCATAATAATCAATAGTAAAAATAATTTGGAAAATAACTGGACATTACAGATAAGATGATACATACATTGGTGTAATGAGCACTATAATCAATGTAAGGACAAATTTATTTTGGCATGGTATACAGCAGTAATAAAAATCAATAATATAAGTAATGTCAATAAAATTTGGAACTATCATACTAGTAGCTTTATAAATAAACTAATTGTAATTTGATACATACTACATATAGCAACTACTTACACATAGCACAAATACATTGACAATAGTCACATGGCATACATTTAATTTATATTGAATTTGAATAAATTTATTCTTGGTAGACCGGTTTTAATTAAAGCAAGACATTTGAAATTTAAATAACTATAGCAAAATAGTTCCCACAGATACTATTGAGTTGGCATTACCAATGGTATTATCTAGGCTCTCTAGAAGACAGTAGTTAATTCAAAAAATAAAACTAATAATAAAATAAATTATTTATTAACGTACGTAATATTTAAAGTGACCCACTTGACTTATGAATGTTTGGAAATTGGACGTTGATAGTTGACACGCGATGGATTTATAATTGGATTTATAAATCCACCTTGGTGGCTGAGTATGGCACTTTGGCATCAAATGAAAAATGTTATGAACATTTGTAACATTCGTTTGATAACAAATTTTGAATATCGGTTAGGTTAGTTTACCTCAACCATAGTACAATGATACTGGTAACGGTATGCGCGACCTCTTAGCAGCTGATCTATGATAATGAATAGATTATAGAATGCTAGGTTGATGTTTTTCAAATAAAATTTTCATCATTTTTACGTTTTATACTCTTAATATCTGTGTTATCGTTGTCCCTGACAATAAAACTAGAAACAACGAACATAGGAAGTAAACCGGTACACAATCAGCATCAATGATGAGGGCGTGTCAGTTGTTCAAGTCATTTCAAATTAAACCAGTACTGATTACTGGTTTTGAACACAGCGGAGGCTGTGCAACTTTGAAAACCCCCTTAATTAGAAGGACTATGGTAAGTGTTCTGAAAGTCTTCATTTTTTTTATGAACGTTTGCTGTAAATATTTTTAAATATTATGGTTCTTAATTTTGATAACCATGTTAAGGCGTTGAAATGTGATGTTGGTGTTCGAAAAGAATCCGACACATTTGGAGAACTAGATGTACCCAGTGATCGTTATTATGGCGCTCAAACAGTACGATCAACAATGAATTTCCGTATTGGTGGTGAAAAAGAACAAATGCCAGTAAGTGTAGTAGAATATAATAAGGTGTGATGGGAAAACCACATTAATTTTGTGTGAATTGGACATGAACAAGTTCAATTTTTAAGATATCAATTTGATATCAAACTAACTTTTTATTTTTCTATGAATATGGTTCATGGTTTGTTCATTCACCAATTAACTTTCATAGGCCATAGTTATGTTTACCACTAATATTTTATTTATACATTGGAGAAGAAATTAAGTTAGATGAAATGGTTTTTTTAAAATTACAATTATAATTTAAATTGCACTATATGGATTTAAATTCTTCTTCTTCCTCAGCCTATCGGCCCATTAAGTGCCATCGCTGCCATCACAACACCTCTCCATTTCTCTCTATCGTATGCGTCATCAAAAGATGACTCTTCTACGTTTTTTATATCTTGATCTATAACGTCCATCCATCGGGTCCTTGATCTTCCTAATGGATGTTTTTTATTTATTTTATTAACTAACACTTCTTTTATTACTTGTCAATTCGCTCTCCAAACATGGCCGAACCATTCTAGTCGCTTGCTTTTTATATATGAAGTAATATNTTTTTAATTATAAGTCTTCTTCTTCTTCTTCCTCAGCTTATCGGCCCATTAAGTGCCATCGCTGCCATCACAACACCTCTCCATTTCTCTCTATCGTATGCGTCATCAAAAGATGACTCTTCTACGTTTTTTATATCTTGAGCTATAACGTCCATCCATCGGGTCTTCCTAATGGACGTTTTTTATTTATTTTGTTAACTAACACTTCTTTTATTACTTGTCCATTCGCTCTCCAAACATGGCCGAACCATTCTAGTCGCTTGCATTTTATATATGAAATAATATTTAGCCTGTTATATAACTCCTGTAGTTCTTGATTTTTCCTTCTTTTGTAAGTTTGTGATTCTGCATTAAATTTTGGGCCGTATATCTTTCTCAGTACTTTTCTTTCGAAGGTCATTAATCGTTTGCTGTCTCCTTTGGTCAGTGACCATGTTTCACTCGCGTATGTGATTATTGGTCGTAAATAGCTATGATACAGTAGTGTCTTTGAGTTATGTGACAGTAGTTTTGATTTAAGGAGTCTCCTTATGCTATAGTAGCATCGGTTGCCGCATGGTATTCGATCATTGATTTCTTCATGCATATCATTGTTGCTATTTATGTTAACACCTAGGTACTTAAATACCTCCACTTTTTTGAAAATATAGTCATCTACTGTTATGTGGTCTATGTTTGGGCTTCTTCTTGCTACCATTAAGTATTTCGTCTTTTCCTCATTTACACGCAGCCCTATGGTTTTACTTGCTTTCAAGAGTTTGGACGTAGTATTTATGACTTCATCTCTAGTTTCTCCCATTATTACAATGTCATCTGCGTATACCAATATTATTCGTTTCCCACATACTTCCATTTTTCGACCGTCCCATAATTCTCTCATTGCTTTTTCTAATGCTAGATTAAACAAGGTGGGTGATAGAGCATAACCTTGTCTAAGGCTCGATTTTACCTCAAAGGTTTCAGACATTTCTTGCAGGAAACGCACTCGCACACAGTTCTATTGTTACATCCTTTTATAAGACTTACGTATTTTTTAGGAATGCCTAGTACTTCTAGTGCTTTCCATAGTTTGTCTCTATCAATGCTATCATAAGCTTGCTTATAGTCTATGAATATAAGGTGCAGTTCTTTATCAAATTCATAAAACTTAGCCATTATCTGTCTCAGAGTAAAAATATTGTCCAATGTCGATTTACCTTTTCTAAAGCCGCTTTGATATTCCCCAACTATTTCGTTAACATATGGGTTAATCCTTTCTAGTATTAATGACGTATACACTTTGTAACACGTGTCCAATAGAGATATACCTCTGTAGTTCTTTGTTTTGGTCGGGTCCCCCTTTTTTAATATAGGACATATTATTGCAGTAGTCCAGTTCTCTGGAGAGGTTTCTGTATCTCATATAATTGAAATCAACTCCATAATTTCTCTTCTTATTTCAGCCCCACCTTTTTTCAGTAATTTTTATCTTCTGTTGGTGCGTAGCAATTTATAATGACTAGGTCAAATAGCCTACCCGCTATTCGGATATAGCAAATCCGATCTGAGACTGCTGAAAAATGTTTTATGCATGGTAGTATTTTGTCCTGTACCACAAAACCCACTCCATTTTCAGATCCGCTATAGAAAAGAGTGATATTTTCTTTTTTGATATTCCCGTTATTAGTCCACTTGATCTCTTGTATAGCTAATATATCCAGTTTATACTTGTTTTGCTCTTCGAGTACATATTTTAGAGCTCCAGGTTTGTTAAAAATTCTTATGTTCTAAGTTCCCAAATTTAGTCCTTTTTCCGATCCAGTTGTTTTCCATGATTGATCCAGTTCCGAGGCTTGTTTGATGATTTCTTAACGATGAAATATTTTATGAGGTCGGGTTGTTAGCCCGACGCTCAACCCTCAACCTGGAGGACCAGACTACCCCAACTAGTTAAGGTAAGGGTAGGGCTACTGCAGTACACGTATTATAAGGTGCACTGGGCGATGGGAGCGCCACTTTCCCTACACCAGCTATGGATTTAAATTACAACTTTTAAAATATTTGCTTTGTTTTTTGTCTACAATTATATCTATATTATGTGGGAGTGTGAACAACTTTAAAATATGATACCTGTTATATTATATTTTATCATTTACATAATATACTATTATCTACTATATTTTAATAATAAATTTTCATTATAAAAATACAATTTGTTAAGAATTATAGCTATAATGCACTTTACCATACCCCACACAAATTAAAATTTTTTTTTGAACATATTTTAATTTTTGCAGAAATTATTATTTTGTAAGTTATAGCAATTTGAAAACTGTATGTCACTATATAACATTACACCTGTTTTTAAAAAACATGTTTCATTTTTTTTTTTTTTTGTTTTTTCCCTTGTGTCATATTATAATCAATAACAGAATTAGTAGAATATAGAATATAAGAGTTATTTGTTGATTGTTGTTTTAGTTTCAAATTTATATTAGTTCATATCTTCTCTTTCATTTTCATCTAAACTATTTGGGGTTATCTACCCTCGTCCGAAACTTCCATTTGACCTAATTATCCACCTAGTATCCATCTGGGGAGATCTATGTAGATAATCATTTTTAATTGTTTCTTCTCTGAAAACAGATACTGCTGATGATGATACCATAGGACATCATCAAAATATATATAACGAGTTTCATTATCATTGGATATGCCATATAGACTTTCTTCACCTATTGTAGGTCTATACACAATTTCCCATCTTATTTTTGCAGTTATGTTACCCATTATTATTTTTATGTCGTTTTGAGGAAATGTATCATATGTATGTTCAAGTCCCTCATAGAAGGGTCTCAAATTATTACTAGTTAAAATATATACAAATTATTGCAATTATAATTTCAAAATTGTTTTAATTTAATTTTTTCAGTATCCTGTAATTGTGGCTATGGGAATATTGAAAAAAGCTGCAGCTGAAGTAAATAAAGAATTTGGTCTTGATGCTAATATTGCTGATGCTATAAGTAAGGCAGCCGATGAAGTAATTAGTGGAAAACTTTACAACGAAGGTCATTTTCCTTTGGTCATATGGCAGACTGGGTCTGGTACACAGTCAAATATGAACACTAATGAAGTATGTATAATTGAAATAATTCAAGTATATAGGATGTCACAAATAACTTCATATTTGATGGTAATATTAATTGACATTTATTATAGGTGATTAGTAATAGAGCTATTGAGATCTTGGGAGGAGAATTGGGATCTAAAAAACCAGTTCATCCTAACGACCATGTAAATAAAAGTCAGAGTTCCAATGACACATTCCCAACAGCTATGCATATTGCAGTTGCTATGGAATTAAATAACTTGTTATTGCCAGCACTAAAACATCTACACAAAGAACTAGATAAGAAATCCAAAGAGTTCACTGGTATAATAAAAATAGGACGAACACACACACAAGTAAGGATAATTGCATTTAAATGTGTACAGTACAATCACAAAGTAATCTGAATTTAAATTAGTTTTTGTAAGGGTTTTTGTTCACATGTTGCACAATTACATATTATATTTTCCTATCCTAAAATTTATTTTAACTTGAAGTTTTTAATATTTACATTCTAAAAATGATTTGAAGATACCTATTTATTTTCAATTTTTTTTTTAAAAAAAAAAACTACCTAAATTAAAATAAATTATTATTTTATAAGAATTATGTTAAAATAAAAAAAAAATAAGTTAATTATTTTTCAAATAAAATACTACATATTTTATGCTAATTTATAATTAAGAACTTACACATGGGCTTGAAATTAAAATATAGTAATTAAACATTTTAGAACTATAAAACATTGATAGTATATAATGGAAAAGGCATATTTTGTATAGCAGTATATGTAGTGCGAGCGGGTCACTTAATCAAATAAAAAAGAGAATGCAATAACATGCAATATCAAAATAATATATTTTTTTATTGAGACAAAAGAATATAATAATATAAAGTCTGATAACCAATATGGCCCATCATTATGTATTATCTATGTTACTAAATTGCATAATTAAATCTAAAACCAATGATGACAATAATTAATGATAAATATAAGTTATGTAGAATACTTTATACTACTGTATGATTATTATTGCATATATTAATAATATAGTAAATCATTGTTTATTTAGGATGCTACACCATTGACTTTAGAACAAGAATTCAGTGGATACGTTAGACAGCTTTATAATGGTATTAAAAGAGTTGAAAATACTCTACCACATCTTTACGAATTGGGATTGGGTGGTACAGCTGTTGGAACTGGCTTGAACACAAGAGTTGGGTTTGCTGAAAAGTGTGCTGATAAGATAAGCGAATTAACTAAGTTGCCATTTAAAAAATCTCCAAATTTCTTTGAATCACTAGCTGCCCATGACGCTATGGTTGAAGTATCAGGTGCATTAAATGTGCTTGCTTGCAGTTTAATGAAGATTGCTAATGACATAAGATTCCTTGCATCCGGACCTAGAAGTGGTCTTGGTGAATTATCACTACCAGAAAATGAACCTGGGAGCAGTATTATGCCTGGTGCCTATTTATAATGAACTTGGTTTTTACTAATTATAATATATATTAAAATCTGATTATTGAAATTTAGGTAAAGTAAATCCTACTCAGTGTGAGGCAATCACAATGGTGTGTGCTCAGGTAATGGGCAATCATGTAGCTGTAACAGTTGGGGGCAGTAATGGTCATTTTGAGCTAAATGTTTTCAAACCTATGATTGTGTCTAATGTACTGAGATCTACTAGACTTTTGGCAGACAGCTGCATGTCGTTTACAGACAATTGTGTTGTTGGAATCGAAGCTAATAAAGACAGAATTTCTCATCTCTTAAAAAATTCTCTTATGTTGGTTACTGCATTGAATCCACATATTGGTTATGATAAAGTAAGTTATATATCTATTAAATTAAATTTCAAATTTTCTTCATTTCTAAATGTTAATTAACTTTGATTTTAGGCTGCTAAAATTGCTAAAACTGCCCATAAAGATGGATCTACACTCAAAGAATCTGCATTAAAACTTGGATATTTAACTGAAGAAGAATTTGATAAATGGGTCAAACCAGAAGATATGTTGGGACCAAAATAAGTAATTTAGTTATATTTAGGTTATAAATTATTTAATAATTTTACTTTTGTGTATTGGAAAAAAATTTGAAATTCAGATTTATAGTTAATAAATTACATTATTATTTCGATTGTTATATTTTAAAAAAATAATTGATTTTTGAATTCATGCATCCCTGAAAGTAAGTTTTTAAATTTATATAGTTAAGGACATGAGAATAAACTAGTCAAATTGACATTACTCAATTCCAAGTTATTCATTTTAAAATAAGCTATTTAATTTGAAAAAGTTCGAAATTTGTATAAATATAATTGTGTATATCATACAAATCAACACCAATATGTTCATAAATATATATACAGCTATATGTTTGAAGATACATTTTAAATGTGCATAAAACATTGGAAATTAGTTCTTCCGACCAATCATTCCTTTGCATAGTTAATTGTTTGAACATCCAAAACAAAGAACAGTCATTATTTGGAAAGTTCAAATTAAAGACTTAATAGACTATATAATTGGCATGGACCCATCTACTTTAGATAATACTTTTTTACAGATAACATATAAATAAACTGGTCTTTTTTAGAATCTATGAACACAATGAGCGATTAACATTTTCTTTAAATTTTTTTCTGTGACCAAATTATACAGAATACAATTTCTCATAAATATTTTTATTCTGGAAAAATATGGAGTAAAGTTTTAGGGAATTTTGTGATAACATAGTTTAATGGCATCCATATCATAGAGTAACTCTATGGCCCAGATGTCAACTATTATCATTTAAATGATAATAGTAGAGGAAAGTAGTCTACAGTGAGATATGTTACAATATAGAGTAATATTATTCTATGATCTATATCTGTAATTTCAGCAAAATGATCTTCCAATATTTTGTTTTTCCAATAACCTAACCTACCACTATTATATTAACTCTAAATACTAGCTGTCTTACAAATTATAATTTTTTTATTTATATAATTTCCTTTGGTTACAAGTCCTGAAATATAACAAATCTCTTATAAAGATATTCAAATTTATATTATTCTGTTTTACATAGGTTCATTTGTTTTATAATACATTATTATTAGTTTTAAAAGTTCATCTTAATTGTTAATGATTGTTCTTATATTTAACAGTACATACACATGTTCTTGGTGATTTCCCAATATATTATAGCCTACCTATTTTGTCGTGGTCATATAAAAAGTGACTAAGTAAATTAAAAATGTATTAATTTTTCTAATTATGTATATAATTAGCAATTCCTGAACTATTTATGACATTATTTGAACACATTCTGTACATAAATTTTAAATAAATATAAATCATCTTCAGATTGAAATATATGGTATTAAAATTAATAAACAAATTAAATGTAACATTTAAACATTATCATGAAAAATCAGGTAAAATTATATTTTACATACTTTTATAAAAGTAGATAAATCTCAATAGCAGTCTTATCATAATACAAATTAAAAGATTATTATTGAACAGAAAAAAAAAAAAAAACATTCAAATCATTTACTTTTATTTATTTATCTATTACGTCTTTGCTGAGGTCCACTTTTATTTCCATTTCTTGGACGGCTCCTTCTCTTTTTTAAAATTAATTCCCAATCTTTTCGTGCCAACATATACAACTGTAGTGCAGCTTTAGCATCTTGAACAGAGCTATGTTCACCTTCCTGTATGTTGGCACCGAGAAAATGTAATGTCAATCGTTTTAGACCAGGTGTTCGGCCTTCTGTGAGTTGCTTAAATTTCCAATAAGTTGATGTATCTCTAATCATATGTTTAGGGTGTGAAATTTTTAACACTCTTAAGTCATGTTCAATTGCATGACCAACTAATAGCTTATTTTTAAGTATCACACTGACTTCTCTTTTAACTGTAACAAAGGTTTCACCATTTTCAATGTCTTCAGGTCTAATACCACTAACAGGTGTTCGGTAATCAATAACTTTTTCTGTAGGTTTAACAAATTTATCATAAATAGTTTCACCTTTAGAATTTACAATTGACACACGAGCCAACATATTTCTTTGGCCATCAGGTTGTATGCCGACCATTTCACAATCAATTGCAACAACTTCAATTTCTTTTTTCTCATGTTTCTAAAAATATTAAATCAACATGTTATGTGAATATTTTTTTTTTACGCAGCACAATCAGCAACTATAACAACAAATATTAAATTTACCTGGACAACAGGGTTACTTAAGTTAGTAGTTGGTGGCGGTGAAGCGTTTATGAACTTTATCCAATTGTTAGCACCGTTGGCGTTTTTGTGTACCGTAGAAGCAACGTTTTTATTCATTATTGGTGTAAAATAAATATAAAATCACAAAAGAACTAGACAAAAATTCGAACTCATTAATTGATCGACCATCACGTGAAAATATCTGGTAAACTTATTTACAAAAGTGGAAAAGATTGATAAGACGTTGATAACAAAATATTAGTGATAATCGGTGATAACAACGAACATATCCACTGGAGGAAAAACGTGAATCGCCGCGCTAGCAACCAGCTTACTGAACTTCTGAGTGCCATTCGAACGGAAATCACATAACCTCGAAACAAGATAGCCAAAAAGGTAACAGTCGAAAATCGAAACTGAAAATGTAGGAATTCCGTATCTATTTTAGGTGCTATGAAAAATCAACCAATTAACGGTAATAACAATAATAATAATAACAAATAACAATATCTAATAATAACAATATATATCAAGACAGTTGTGTTTGGACGTTATCTCTACTGCTCCCGAAATCGTCGATTTCGCCGACGATAATTCAACTGAGATCCCGTGCCACCAGGCACCAGTCACCACTCACGACTCACCGGCTATCCCGTGAAAATAATTGCCGGCCGTTCACCTACTCCGGTTTCTTCTAACGTGAACGTTTCATTAAGCAGTTAAAACTCGTGTTGGGAAAACGACGTTGCTGGTGAATACGAACCGAGTGAGTACACTGGAATTTGTATAAATACAATACCTAATATACGGTAGGTAATATAGATTCTGCGATTTCAAGGCCTTTGGAAACTTTTACTTTTTCCTTTTTTGCTCCTGCACGTGTTTTGCCTTTCTCCCCTCCCGATTCTACCCAAGATCATTCGGGGGTGTTCCCTCCGAAATAATTGACTTATTACCTCTATGATAATGATCCTCGTTCCACATTGTCTTCTTTTGGGGCACGTACAACAAACTAGGCGCCCGCGATTCGGTCCGCCGCCCAAAAGAATAATTTTACATAATCAATTTTCTGGTGCACGTACACGTCTTCATTGTCGTCGGTGTCTATTGTTGTGTCTGTGTGGTTACAAAAATTATTGCACTCACCTAACTATCCGATGACAAAAACCAACCGCCGTGGGTTCCAAGGTAATAATTCCCCTTGGGGTGTCTTATGTTTTTTTTTTTCTAACGAATGAAGTCTATTCTCATTGCTCTCCATTTATATTATTTTTTAGAATATTGTAGTGTTGTAATTATAGGTACCTAATACGATATTGTTCCCTACTGTGTTAGTGTTCAAAGTATTATAAACTTTGTACTCCTGTCAGTGTATAATTTCTTTTTTGTGCATCATTATATTTTTATAATTATTTCTAAATAGTAATATATTAGTATTTTAAAGCTTCTATGTCTTCTGTCAGTTTTGTTACTATCTCATCTGCTTATATTAATAATGGATATACAGGTAAAACAATTATTATTCTAAAGTTGTATACTCTGAATTTAATTGCAAAAAAAATAAACAAGCTGGTATTTACCACCATATAAATAAATCAGATGATATTTTTTTCATATTTAAAAAAGGCTTATAATATTATTTCATTAAAAGATATTAGAATTAGATAATAATATAAATGTATAAGTATTCTTTTTGTTGATAATTTAAGTGAGTAGTACTATTCATGTACATAGATAATTCTTTATTATCTGTCCCTATATAATGTATTTTAAATTAAAAAGTACTATTAGTTTAGGCACATATTTTAAATGTATATTTTCAATAATATACAATATGCTAGTGTTAACAAAAATCTGTATTAACTGACACATTTGTTTATCTTAGGTAGATACCTAATAATATGTTTGATGTAAACACAACTTGACATTGAGTGTGTTTATGTATGTTTTGAATCAACAATTTAATTATTTTGTTTAAAAAAAAAAAAAATCAAAAACAAAAACAAATACCATATGTAGGTATCTAGTACTTTAGGTAGGTACTTATTAAAAAATTATAGATTTCATTTTACAATGATACTTTTTTTAATTTAAAATGTACATTATTTTATTGTGTTATAAATACATTTTTTTAATAACTGGAATTTTAATTAAAAAAAAATATTAATTGTTTCCTTTTTTAAAGAAATTAATTTCTTTTTAATACTAAATATTAAAATATTACACATATAAAAAAACTGTTAGTTTAGACTACTGGTTTTAAGTGTGTCAAGATTACCTTAAGGTTTTCAACAAGTTACAAGTCATTTCCTCCCATTCAATTCATATTATTATTTCAGGAAAGTGATGTACCAATTTAATAACTAAGTAATTATACTAGGTAGGTATCCATAATAATTCTGTATTTGTACAAATTTCACTTGTGTATTTATATATATCTACTACAATATTACACATTTATTTTTAAAAAGGTAATGGATTATGGTACTGTATTATTCTTTATTATTATTATACTTTATTCTAAATCATTTTTAGAAGAGATAATTAGTTTTAAATTATGAAATACTTAAACAAAAGGGCCCTTGTTTGAGCCTATTCACCGATTTAAATTAAAATCACAGAATTTGATGAACTTGTATATTCATGAACCTATGTTTTGTTTGATCGTAAACTTTTACCTTAGTTTCTATTAATTTATAAAAGTCTTTAAATAAAATATTATTTGATACACTATTTTTGAAAACCTTGGATATCATTATTTCTAACATTTTTATGGTATAAAATTATAATGAATAATTAGGTTCCTATAGATATAATTTATTTATTAATTTATATCAGAAAATTTGTTCTTCTATAATATTTTAATTGAGTAAATTTAACAGGAATGACGAAGCTGATCAAGTAATTAAATTGGTGTGCCATTGTGGCAGTGATGAGTACCAGAGAAGTAACAGATGACCGCTATATTGATGATCCAATTCGGACAAGTAAAAAGCCACCCTTCAAAGTAAAGCCACCATCTTATGTGAACATATCCAGATCTATAAATGGGTATACATCATCTTTAACACAATACGATAGCAGAAAACGAGAGAGTCGCTCTAGGGATTGCAGTCCAATCAGTGTACGCACAATTAATAGTGATATGGACGAGCAAAGTTTTATGACTAAATGTACAACTACTGATACAGTTGATTATAGAACTGAGTCGCCAAATTCAATAATTGTTAATACAATTCAAAGACTTTATGGTTCTAGTGTTAAAGTATCACCTAAGGAAAAAAAATTAAATAATCACATTCCTACTTCTACTGTAATACAAAGTGAACATGCTGATTTGCCTGTTTTAAAGTTGCTCAACCCGCAGTTCCGTGCAAAATTGGCAATAAATACAACGCATTTACCACCCAAGAAAACCAAACCTACACCAATTATTACTAATGGTAGTGATGTAGAAATTCATGGGGGCAATTACTTTATTAATTTAGTAAATATAGAATGTGATTTGATAAAAAAATTAATATCACAGGTAGAATGCTTGTTACCAATTGCTCCTGAATATGGCCAAGCTCGAATTCAAGCAATTGTTGGTAAATCAAACCTGTTAATGTCCAAAAAAATTAAACAGTTCCTTGGTTTATGTGAAAACAACATATCCTGTGCACTTGATGATGTATCCAGACCCAAAAATAACGATTTAGAAGGATTTTGGGATATGGTCAAGATTCAAGTTGATCAAGTTAAAACTGAAATGCAAAATATTGTTGAACTTAATAATAAAGGTTGGCCTGAAAATGAAGAAGAAAACAACAAAGTGACACCTATTAATACTATTAAAGTAAAAACGAAAATGAAAAAACCAGTTATTTCAAATTCAAAATATGACGCAGCTAGAAGAAAAGCAATTGAAGAACAACGCAAGGCAATGAAAAACTTAAAAAGTGATGATATTATATTTTTTTAAGTATAAATGTGGTAAAAATTAGACTGTAATATTATGTGTTAATGAGTATTATAATATTTAATTAATAATTATTTAACTTTAATTTTTAAATTTTGTATATGTAACTTGTATTATTTTCAAAACATTATTTTTTAATTTTAAACTAATTTTATAAAAAAAAACCTAAAGTAATTGTTTATACAAGTTTTGTTGGTTGAGTATTTTTATTTTATAAAACAAATGCACTTAGATAGTTTCTATACATTTTTATATTATGCTTTAACCAAATCATAGTGTAACATATAACAAATAAAACAATTATTGAAATTTACATTTTTATATGAACAAAAAACTAAAATTTAACTAATTTAAACATTTTTTTATTATTATTATTTATAATTGATTGTTTTGCTCAAAATATATTTTACATAAAAAATATTATTTGTATAAACGTTAAATTATATTTTTATATGTTAACCATATTGAGCAATTATACATGTATATATGGAGACATAAATGCATATATATTTGTTAAGTTGTGTTATCCTTTGTGTATGTGTTTTTTTTTTAAAAAATATTAATGTTAAATATTTTTTTAAAAGTCCAATGGTAAATTATCAAAGAATTTTATCCAAAATATTTTCTATATCATGTAGTATAGTAAATTTTGGACGAGCACAAAAATAATTGTGCAGTGTTAATATTTTATTACTTGTTTGAAGCATTCAAGGCCTGAAAAAACTATGTTTATAAATTAATAAATGCTTGGTTGATAATACCGTTTATAAAGCGTTGGAAATACTTGGATTTATTATATGTAACACCAAAAGTTTCAAATCTGCTCTGTTCATTAAATTTTTCACTCATTAAATACACTTTGAATTTGGCACTCTTTTCTTGCAAAATGCCAATTTTACCTTGAATGGTTAAAAAATAAATTTATAAAGTTCTCTATTTCGAAACTCTTATCTTCACACCATGTTGAAGCTGACTAATGATTTATTACGTCACTTTTAAATAGGTCCCTGGAGGCTCCAGATCTTTTTGAAAGAATCTATTTTACTGTTCCGTTACACTACCCACAACTAGCTGGTCACACCACTTCGTGCGGCTATAGCCATTATAAAACATATTTTAGAGTTTGTGATAAAACGTTGTAGATGAAATTCAATACAAAATGTAGGACGTCTAGATCTTTGGAATAAAAAAATAATCATCGAAATTTAATAATTTTACGAGGCATGAGAGTTTTTCTTGTAAACCATGTTTTTGTGTCGAAACACCATGGCAACAGGCTCCCTAATATTTATACAAATGTATTATCATTTTTATTTAGGTTCATTAAATCTGTGATTTCTAATAATATAGTATTTTATTTGAAATGGGTAATAAAACTAATTACAAAAAAACTTATCCGTTAAATATTAACTTAAATTTTTTATAAGTACAATACTGAAATCTGTTAAGCTTTTATTTTGGTATATTTATAGTAACGACAAAAGAAAAATATATAGTCAATTTTATCATAATTTGTTTTAAGTAAGCTGATATTATATGATTTACAAATAATAAATATACCTAATATTTATTATTAAGCGTACCTAAACCATTATTTTAGCTTTTTCAGTATTTGACTGTATATACTATAAACAATATATTATCAGATACCTGTTTTATAGTTTGCTGGTATATTAGGTATGCTAAATTGTTAGTACAATTGCGTAAACAGTTGCAACCTCGTTTCGTTTGATCCAAACAAATAATAGTTTTATAGATACAGGTACACACATACTTGTATTTTCATCATAATAATGTCCACCTTTTCTTTATTGGTTTTTGAGTATTAAAAAAAGGAGTTAATTTAACTTAACCTAAATAATATTTGGTAGTTATTTAGTTTGGTCTTCTTAGATTTTTGCAAGGGAAAATTTTAAAACAAATTACAAACTAAAATTGTATTTAAAAGTACAGTGATGTAGGTATTGGAAAGTATTGAAATAAACTGTGCAATGTATACTTTGATTTCGATATTTTTGTACCACATGATTAAGAATATAATCATCATCCAATACCAATAATTAATAGACATTTTTAATTTTTGCACCCTAGAATTTATTATGTTAATCCATTGATTATAAATTACAATATAATCAATGGTCAATTTTTATTTTCTTCCATATTTTTATTAACGTAATATTTGAAATAGAAAATGGTAGTTAACGTTATAAAATTGACTAGTTATTGTTTTTAATAAAACTGTTATACTCAAAATGAATAAATAGTTTTATTGAGGGTTTAAAAGTTATGGAACAAATATGATAGTTAATAAATTAGGTAGGTAGGTAAAAGTTAAAGTAATTTTCAATTTCAATAATTGTAATAATATTTACCAGATATTTGCTTTAGGTAGATACCTATTTTATACAAATTATTTCATCTATTATAGATAAACGTGTATAATTACGCTGATAAAATATAGTTTAATTAAACAAGTAATATTTAACTACCTGTTCAAATAATTTTTGAACAAAAATGTAATAGTTCTTAAAACAATTTTATATTTATGTATCTGTATTTAAGTATTTGAATAACTTTTGATTGTAACTGATCTACATTTTACATAAATATTTGCAATACAAATGGGGATAAGGCGGCATTCACACCGGAGCAATAGGCGACGAGCAATTAGCAATCGGCGACAAGCAATAATATTTGCATTTGATTAATCTTATAGAAAATAATGAATATTCTCACACTGAAGCAACACGATGTTTCCTGTCGCGAACTTGTAGCAACATGCATTGCCAGGGATTCGACCGTCGTGTTGTCTGTTGATATTTTTTGACAGTGTTGAGCAATACCAATTTGTTTGTATAGGTATATTTTCTTTCGTTATTTCCCATAAAAATCCTGGGAAAATCAAAAAACCACATTCCTAAAGTACGTGCCCTTTCAGTTCCCTTGTTTCTTTCAGAAAAGGCGCTAAAAAAAAAATTGGAGCAGGATTTCTGGTAGAAAAGTTGCGCGTAGATAAAAAAAAAAAAAATAAAAATAAATATCTTTGTAAAACTATAAACTTCTCAGCACCACTCAGAATCTAAAACAATATTCCTTATCTCTTTAATATAGTTAAGTTGCACTTAGTGGTCAAAACAAAATTTAATCGATTGCAATTTTGGTAATATTTTGTTTTTTTTTTTGTTTCTTCATGAGTTAATATCAAATTGTGACAAAAATTGTAAATATTACGGCCTTTCAAAACATGTAAATCGAACTTCACTGCGAATAGTTTTTCGTTAACAATGGATTGTCGTTGCTTACAGTTATAAATTAAATAACTTTATTTATCTTACCTTCTCGACTTCTCACCTACAACAGTGGCACACTCGTCCCCAGTATCAGTTCTTTTATAAACAAATTCGATTAAACAGGAATCTAGATGAACAAAAAATAAAATTTAATGCAGGTAAAAAGTAACATTTTTTTTTCTTGATTTTGTTATCTCTGAAATTTCGATCTTGTTTTCAATTTGTTAACATATTGCATCTGTGTTCCTTTAATGTCTAAAACATTTACAAAGAATCTATTTTAAGATTAAAACTTACAGCACTAATATTATAATATGTGATCTCTTTCGCAGGTATGTTCGGAATATATTCTTCGTTACGTTTTAAAACAACAGATTCGAAAAAAGTAAATCTCGGTATTTTGTTTAAAAAAATGAATATGGACACTAAGAAATTATTCGGCGAACTCTTGGAGACGAAAAAATCTAGAAAAAAATATCATAAACTCAAAGTTGTAAACAAGGACGATGGGGAAAAAAGTCAAAATAATCATCTTGATCAATCATTTAAGTCAAATATTAAATCAATGTCGAAAAGTAAGATAGGTATGATCTTTTTTAGTCATATTTAATTTATTCATTTATTTTACCATAATGCTACATTTTTTAGATTATTCAGATGGTTTTAGTTTTATCAATGATTCAAAACAATATTTAAATGAAAAATACTATGATAAGTTTATTGCATCAGAGTCTTCTGAAATGATTATACAAGAAATCCCCAATCGTGTTCTCCCTTCAGTAACAAACATTCTTAATGTTACAATGTCAGAGAAGTCAAAAGCAGCTTTAGAAAATTGGAAAAAGAATATGATTGAAAAGCTTGGAGAAGACGGCTTTAATAAATATAGTAAAGGTAAAATAAATCATATTTTTTTAAAACTTGTTTGTTAAGTTTATTTATATAACATCATGCACAGTTTAATATCCAAGAAAATGATTATATTTTTGTAAAATAATTATGGTTTAAAAAGGTTTTTATTAGCCTTGTTGTCAGAAATTTCAAATCATTTTCAGTTCCAAAATTTCTCCTAAAATGGCTATAACACTGCAGGGTTCTTTATACCTAATATTTAATATCTATCTTATGTTATAAAATGTATTCTTTTGTTTTTCACCACTTTTGTTTTCTATACGCCGCTAATCTTGTTATTTGAAAATGCAATTTAACACCCTAAATCTAATTCTTGCAATATTCTCAGATTTAATAACAATAGGGCTTCAAGGCTCGTGTATGTGCTGTGTATAGCCTACAAAGTTATTAAAATAAATTTGAAAAAATATTACACCAATTTATTAATATTACAGAAAATATTAGAAGCAAACAAATTTATTTAATCACAATATTGTCTTCACTATAGTATATTCATAATTATTATGTCCTAAAGGTAACACCTTGTCAACTTGACTATATGTGTCTGGTCATTGCTGCTTCCTTTAGCTGTTGGTAGGATGTGCAGTCCATTTTCTCTTCTAAATCGTGAAAATAACTAATTCTAGATCTTCCTCCTGGACTCCATTATTCTTCCCTTAAATATGTTATTAAAAATAATAATTTTGACATGTAATATGTATATTATAATTCCTAATCTTGTAGTTTAAAAATAAAATTGGTTGTTCCTGTGTAGTACCTTATTATCATATATTTTCTATTATTTTTAGTTGTATGAAACTATTTAAAATATATTACACATGTATATTATTGTTTGAATTATTTGGTTGATATATTGGATTATTTTGTATTGTATTTTATTCATTATCATCAATGATATTATTTAATTAATATATTTATTTAGGAGTATTAATCATTTAATAATTTGTTTTTACTTTATTAGATCATTTTAAACAATTCAATAGATCAATCACAATTAAATGTAATCCATATAAATGTTTATTTATTTTTACAATATTACTGTGTTTTATACATTTGTTTATTTAATCAACAACAGGTTGGTACTTGCCTTTAATTATTTGTTAGTAGATATTTAATAAAATACTAAGTTAAGAAAACAGAAAATTTTCTAATAAATTTTTGAAAACATCTGCGTACATCATTTACTGTCCCATAAACTGGTATATGATACAAAATATCATAATAATTATCTATTCAATTAAATATTTATTTTCATTTTTGTAAAAACTTACTTTGCTTACTGTATTTTTAAACTGCAGCGACTAAAAATTGTATTTGTGGGTAAAACGACAAAAACAATTTCAACCTATTCATGTACATAGATCAGCATATTGATTTATTGATATTTATATGTGAAATATTTTAGATTCTGAGTGAAATTAAGAATTTATGAGTTTTATTATAATTTAGTCTATAAGGTTTGTGATTTTTATGTTATTTCAATATATTTGAAAACCTCATCAAAACACGTGTAAAAAGCTATTTTCCTTGGGTATTTTATTGATTAGAATATATGGTTATGTAAAATAACTGAAAATTGAAATACAGTTAGGTATGTATTTTATAGTAGTTTAACTATTGGACATCCCTTAAAATTATATTTAAAATACAGCAATGGCTAGTGACATTGGGTAGTTGACATTAATAAAAACAACAATTATTTATAATTGTATACTGGAATAATTGCACTCTAGTTTAGTGGAAAAATCTATTGAATATATTAATTATATCAAAAAAAAAAAGTTTAATTATTTGAATATTTAGTTGTAAGGTAATTATAAAAGTTTATAAATAAATATTATTTTTATTTTTCAGAGTTAATGGCCATAGGAAGTGCTATGCACAGCAAAATAAAATCACATTTAAATGGTACTGAATCTAATGTAAGCCAATATGATGAGGTGGAAAAATGTTTGAAAAGTTTAGAAACTGTGTTAAAAAATGTTTCAAAACCAATTTTAGTCGAAAAAAAGGTTGTACATGATAAATTGTTGTACAAAGGCATTGTTGATTGTGTTGCATTTTACAAGTAATTAAATCAATATAATGTTTTATACATTTTGCTGTTTATAAAATTTTTGTGTTTTAGACATACTCCTGTTGTAATCGAATGGAAGAAGTCATCTCGTGATAAATCAAGTTTACAGTCAACATACGATGCACCTCTTCAATTAGCAGCTTATATGGGAGCCATTAATAATGATATTTCTTATGATTTTATGGTAAGTAAATAAAATATAATTTTTGTAAAATAGATTAATTTTGAATTTATTCAATTATTTAGTTTACTATTTTAATTTTGATCAGTACCTACCAATAATTTTTTTCAAAATGTCCATATTCAATCTTTATATTAATTTTATTGTGAAATGCCCAAAACTTAGCTTAATAATTTAAAGTTTAATTTTGTTTAGACAATTTAATGAAAACTTAATAGATTTTTTTATAAATGTATGATATAGTGGAATAATGATTTGGGGCTTAAATAATAATATCTCTTATTGAGATGGTTTTGATTGTAATACCTATGAGTAAATACAATAAATTATTTGTTTGATATACTTTAAACATTATATATTATTACTTGTATTCTATAAATATTAAATAATCAGTATAAGAATGTATATATACGTCTATATTATATAGGTCGAAGAAGGATTAGTAGTTGTTGCATATAGTGATGGTCATCCTGCTAATGTTTTTAAATTAACAAAACAAGCATGCCTTGATTACTGGGCAATTTGGATACAAAGATTGAACAAATACAAACAAATACAGCGTATCAAGTAGTATCAAGTAATTATTATTGTAATAATTTAATTAATATAATTGAATATGCCAAGGAATTAGTTAATTTGGTTTTTCTTCATCAGTTTCATCAGTAACTTTGACATTATTCTCCATTTTGTAAAAATTTGTAGTAAGTCTAAAACCAAAATAAATAAATTATAAATATACATTAATTTTAACTTATACATTTTAAGTATCAAAATATTTTATAAATTGTAAATTGTTTAAATATATTTTAATTTGTAATAACTTCATTTAGGTACTATATATATATATATATTTTTTTTTTTTTTTGAAGACTTATTTATTTGATTTAAATTAACAATGTTTAAATAGGTAATTAACTTTTGTAAAAATTACCTATAATACTGATTTTTTTTAATTTTAAATTAAATTTAGTTTGATATAAATAGGTATTTTACTGTACCATTTAATATGTATAATTTTTAAACAGCCCATTTAGCAGCTGTATTTACTTAAAACAAATTTTTTTTTTTTTTTTGATATTTGAACATTCAAGACTTTAATTTAAGTAGGTAGTATTTACTATTTATTAATTTATGTTTTAGTTAAAATAAGTTTGATATTTTGATCATTTTTTTTGTTTTTGACTTACTTTAAACACTTTATCATGGTTTTTCTTCTTGCTTCTCACACATAATACATTATATGGGTACATATTATAATATGCTAATATTTTTTAAATTATTACAGATTACATAAATTATTTATGTAATTTTCAATTTATTAATAGAATCGTTTATTTAAAGCTTGTTACACGTTTAAATTAAAAATAAATTCTAAATTTTTTGAAGTTCAAAACATATTATTAACAAAAAATAACTAAATACAAGTAAAACTTATAAAAACAAGATTTGTTGATGGTATCAATGATATGTGCCTATGTATTGAATGTAATGTAGAATAAAATTTAAATTATTTCATTTTTATTTTAACATCATTATAATTTTGTAATAAAATACCAATGTGCCTATATATTATATTGTATAGATTTATTTTATTTATCATGATTCATTAATTTGTCAAAATAAGAGAGCATGTGTGCATGCTGAGTTCCTACTTATTTAGAGTCTAATTTAAGTTTGACACATATTTTATTAATTAGGTATAAGTACTCGAAATGTTAAAGAAAATGTTGGTCTCCATCACTAAATAAAATATAATAAAATTCCAATTTCCAAACGATGACTTTTGCTCACAATTAGTAGTTACCCAGAGACAATAATAATTATTAGTGAAGCATACAAATTGTACGGTACAATACACAATCATTACTATAATAATATATGTGAGTGGGTTTCAAACAAAACAGATCTAGGTTGATACCTGTTTAAGTTATGTTGTGATAATTTATACTATAATACTACCATTGTTGTTTTTTGTTTATATATTGTTATATTATTATAATGTGTAAGTTACTGACTTGTTTAGTTCTTCTTCGAGCCCCCTGTTGGCTTTTTCAATTTGTTCTCGCTGGGCAGTGATCGCTTTCATGCGGTCCTGCAGCAGCTGTATCCTTTCCTCCAGTAGCGCCTCCATTTGCAGTTCTAAGTCAGTGGCAATGTACAGAGTATGAATTTGGTTGGTCAAAGAAATCTGTGTAATTTACGGCTGAATATAATATTATAGTTTATCTTTGGAGCACTAGTGTTGTTAATATATTATACTAGGAATACCACCGCCAAGTAACGGATATTATAATATATTATTAAGCTCTGCCGAGTCTATTATTACATATCGTCCTGGACAAGTGCCAACACTGTATACCTACTTAACATAATATGTACAGGGTGTATGCCGTCAATGTCCCCCTGCAATAAAGTATAATTCAGTCAGAAACTAAAGGGTGGTTTTTTTTTTCTGTACAATGTTATGTATTTCAAAATAATCCTTTGTGAATTTCTATAAAAACCACTTTAAAGATACATTTTCGCAGTATTGAAAAAAAAGAGGCTGATACTACTGATAAATGTGCCATTGTTTTAGGAGGGAAAGTTAAAGGGGAGATAAATAGAATAATTTAAATTATATCTGTCCAAAAAAATAATCCATTGCTAGCGAAAAATGATTCTGAAAAAAGTATTACAAGTGGTAATTATTCCTTGTTGCCAAGTTAACCCAGAAATCAACTAAAATCATATAGTAAATTGCCAACTATTCTATGTATTATTAAGGAAAATCAAAAATACTACAAGAAAGTTTCTATAAAGTTTTGATTGGAGCAAGATTTCTCGTAAAAAAAAAGTTGTTTACATGCACACAAAATAAGCTGTCCTAGGAAATAGGGACGGGTGCAGCCACTGTTGTAAGTGAGAAATTTAGAAGGTAGGTAGTAAAGAGTAAATTTAATGTATATCTGTACGCAACGATTAACCATTGCTAACGAAAAATCGATTCTGAGCCGAATTTGGTTAATAGTGTTGCTTTCTCAGCAATATACTTATATGTCATATGGAAAATAATTACATAATATGTATTATATATTTTATTTAATAATATTTGTTTTATAGTTCATATTTTCCCGTTTTTCTTAAGTTTTTCCCATGTTTTGGGAAAAACAAAATTAAAAAAAAAAAAATATTTAGATTTAAAATGTTAAAAAAAAAATAAGCGAATAACGTTGTACCATATAACACATTTTTTTATAAAATCAAATTCCATTGTTAGGTTTATCAAATAAATTTTAAAGCAGATTGAAATAATAACTCATTTTGAGTACCTATTTATTAATATAATTTTTGTATTTTTTCAATTGACTAAAAAATTTCTGAATTTTACACATTTTATATAGTGTTCATAATATCTGATACGCAAATAATAATATAATTCATGCATGATACATGGGGTTTTTTTTTATTATTAAAAATACAGAAAGCAAAAATAATTTCCATTTTAAGTTGTTACATGGCTGCCCCGAAACAATAACTTCTTGAATAAACAATTTCGAAAACTGTGTATACATAAATAGTAGTACTTATATGCATATTAAGTCAAAACATTTAACTGGCAAATTAGAATAAATAATATAACTAAACGTATAGTATGCGGACTTCTAAAAAAGCACAAAAAAATTTTAAAAAACAAAAATGACTGATCGAAACGAATTTGTAATAAAACTAATATTGGTTTAAAATATTGTAGCAAAGTGCGTGTCTGTATCGTTACCGGTCATATGCGAACTGGGCGATATTTTTGAATGTTGTGCCGTGCTGTAAAAGTATGAATTGAGCTTTATTTGTATTACGATTTTATATGTTCGAGTATTTTGTAGTTTTTTGTTTGGTTTTTAAATTAATCAAATTGTTTGGTCGAACAGAAATGCTTGGAAATATAATATGAGATTCATTATAATAAATCATACATATAGCGATAAAAAAAGCATTTTAAAGCGTTTTAAGTTTAAATTTTGACAAAAGCCATATAAATCACACTTATTTCAATACATGTTAAATCGAACTTCACTCAGAATCGTATTTCGTTGACAGTGGTTTATCGTTGGATACAGATTTAAAATAAATTAAGTAATTTATATGAAGTATGATTTATTTTTTTGTTCTGTTCATTGTATAGAATATTCGAGAAGCTTTAACTTCGAAATATTAACTATAAAATGTAGTTAAGTACTTTGTATTAATAAATAAAGTACGATTAAATTATTTTATTTTATATTTTCATGAATGGATATGACGCCCGTCAAATTAAATTTTAATACATATGATTAATTAGCATTAAACAATAATATGTACATTGTACATAGTACCTAAAACAAAAAAACAAAAAATACACGAAATTACAAAAGAAATAAAGATTTAGAATTAGAACGTAAAATTGACAAAACATTGTTCTTAAATCGATCACGAGAAATATAGAAAAAAAATTAACGTACATACACACAGAGTTTGCTAAACTAATGCTTCAGAGAAAAAAAGTTCTAGCTGCTAAGTTAGTTTTATAAGTAGGTATAAAAAAACAATACTAATCAAGACAATCAATATTATAGTTAATGAGGTCATAAATAAACATTAATTCAGCAACTTTACGTCTAATTTTACACGTGCCAAGGCCAATTGAGTTTGCAATAAAATAATACAAATCCTTAGAGATAGGTAGCTCCATTTTAAAAACCAAAGATTTAAAAAAATTAATTGAATATTTTCAGTATTAGAAATATGAACTGTATAGTTTGGGGACCGAATTTGTGAACCAAATTCTCAATGAGATCTAACTAAGGATAAATAAAGCGATTTTAAACAAAATGTACTGTTAAATTTGACAGCACTTCTATTAAAAAAAAATATTACAAACGACATCCAATTGTTTTTGAGCTCTACTATTTGATTTGATAATTTTCGTTTAGTTTTGTGTTAATGTTAATATATAAAGTTTTAGATTATTTTAAAATAAACGAAAAGAGATAAAGTGTGTTGAATTGTATGTAAGAATCAATATAGAGAGCCGTTTCAATTATTTAGGACCACCGTACCATATAAAGATATTTATTTATTTACGTGCGATAGGCTTCCGTAAACTATAATATGGATTGTACTGCATGGGAGAATCTCAATTACCTACCCTCCAGTCAGAGCCCTTGACATTTATAAGTATAGGTAATATTCCTTACCGATATCTATTAATGTTTATTTATTAATATTATTTTGATAGGAATCCAATAAAAATATTCAAAACAATCTTATTTAAAAATGGGTAAAAAAAAAAAAAACGGTAGTTCCATTTTAATTTAAATAGTCGACATTTATAATAATGATATTTGAACAAAAATATGATAAACCGCTATTTTATACATCCTGTTTTCTTTTGTTTTGGGTATCGAATTATTTTCAATTTCCTTTTTTCCTTTTTTTTATATTCAAGTGGAAAATTTCCAATTTTTAAAATAAAATAGTTTAATATTATAGTTAATCTCCAATTAAATCTCCAAACGAATTATAAATGCTATTAAATAGATGTTGAAATAGGAAAAAAAGAATATTAATGCATTGAAACTGGGAAATTTGGATCAAATTAAACCTTCGGAAATTTATAAAAAATGTTGTAAAAACAAATAAGAAAAGTCGTTACCAGCGAATAAAAAAAAAAATTATTTACCCGAGTAAAGTGGGTACGCATATCAACGAGTTTTATGTACCAATACCCCTCCCCCTTAACCAAGTTAACCCGAGTAAAATAACACGTGTCATAAAATTAAAAACTTTCTTAGCAAACTCGAAATCTAAAACGAACGCTAAAATAATATGAAACTTTTGAATTGAAATTGAGTTTTGTGTTTTTCCATACAGAAATTATTATTATTTAATAAGTTGGCTTGTATTTAACTTTGGGTTTACAAAAATAGTTTATGGTTTCTGAAAAGAGATGTTTGTGTTAATTGTGTTGAGTTAAAACAATGGCTGATTTCTTTATTCAAACAACACAAACTTTTGTGTATGTGTTGATACAAGGAAATATAGTGTAATCTAATTTTGAATAAACTTTATTAATTATGTTGTACATTAAACGAAACTTAATGCGATTGTAGAATATTTGAAGAAATTGTTGATTCGGCTTTAAAATTGGACATAGGTAGGTATTATAACGGAATGGTTTTTTTTTTTTATTATAGTATATAAACTAATAAATAACCTGCGTAATGTACAGGGCGATTCATTTAACGTAAGACACTTATTATTTCACAAAGTGTTGACATTTTTTGAAAATTTAAGAAATTGGTATTCATCTCTAAAATGTTACATTACCATTTTTATTTCTCTTTGTCACCTTTATTTTCGGGGGTGAACTGATTACCTAACTAATTTTAATTTTATACACATTCAAAATCTATAAATAGACTGAGTTTTAGTTAAAATAAATTTTGATGTTGACATTTTTGATTTTTGTTAATAGGTTAACGAGATATTCCACTTTTAAGTTCGGATTGGAGGAGGGAGAGTATAGTGGATTATATTTTGTGTGTGCTCATCGTACTCATACTTAAAAGTAGAACAACTTGTCAACGGGTTAACGGAAATCAAAAATGTCAACACTTAGATTTATTTGAACTAATACTTCATATATTTGTGGAATTTAGGTTTCACCCAAAAAAATAATGTGAATATATGATTTTATATTTTCTACCATTTTTTAAATTTTCAAAAAAAAAAAAAATTGTTAAAATCAATATTTTGTTAAATAACGAGTGTTTTACGACAAATAAATCACCTTGCAGATAGTATTTTCGTTAAATGTTTACTATCTGAATGCGTCTTTTGATAGGGGTCACATTTTAGTAAACTAATTATAGGCTCTACGCTAAATTCTACCTTAAGAGAACGGCATGCCCGCATCTACTATCTCAGTCCAACTAACATAGAAAAATAACGCTTTTGCAAAATTAGTAAAATTAGTTTAATTTTGATTTTAGATAAAAGTACATATTATGAAATTTATAGAGAACAATATTTTGAAAGGAATGTTATAGGTGTTTTTTGAATGATTTTTACATGTAGTAACTCTTCTGAAAGCTCAAATTGTCGTGATGGTACTGTAACGGGTCAGTTTTTATTTTGAACGCCATTTTTTTAAATAAAAGCACTTCAGTGGGAAAAAAACGTAGGAATATATACAATTTCACGATTTCATTATTTTATAAAAACACGAACTACGCTTTCTACCAGAAAAAATCATTTAATTGAAAAATCACAAGATACTTTTTTGTTGTCTTTTTCATTTACTTTCTTACGGTATCATTATCAAAACTTTTGAGCTTTTGAGGAATTTTAATAGTTGGGAGTTTTTTGCTGTAAATCAGTTATAAATACACGTAGAGACTTGAAACGTGGTAATAACACTTATATTGAACTTAAATAGACGTGGTAAAATTTCAAAAATGATCGGACGATTTTTTTTTTTAATAAGCGTTTTGAAATCAAATCTAAACGAAAATCGCAAAAAAAATTATAATTCAAATTACGTGTTACTGAACAGCACTAGGATTCTTCTTTTTTCAAGCAATAGTTTATTGTTGTTTACAGATATAAGTGAAATAACCTTATGTATCCTACCTTACCAACTTCTCACCTACAACAGAGGCCGCTCCCATCTCCAGTATCAGCTCTTTATTTATATAAGGTTGTATATTTTGAATAATACAAAAACCCTATGACATTCCATCCAAAATATTAATAATAAAATTCTCTATACACTATAGGTATTTTACTCTAAAATCAAAATTAAGCTAGTTTTACTTATTCTGCGTAAGCATTGTGTTTGCACGTTACCTGGTAGTTGGCCCGAGGCGGATGCTGGTATAACGTCCTCTTAACAGTTACAACCTAAGACTAAACAGGTGAGATTATGTAATGTTGAACAACCAACCTATTGTTTTGGTAAATCATTGTGTTTTTGATTGTGATCACGTAGGTATACCTAGTCCATTACAAATCAGTCGTTTGGTTAATTGAAACGTATAATACGAAATTGTATGTAATTGACGCGTTCGTCGTAAACAAAAATAATAACAGCCGCCGTGCCGCGGATAGGCCATAGATAATAAAGAAATGGATAGGCGGCTCCTGTAACAATTATTGTAAGTGAGGCGATGTTCCCTGAGGAGCGGTAAACTGATGCGATTTATCATTCATCAAAATACAGATAGAACGCCTCACTTCATGAAACATAGAGTCCACGGTACACGTCCCTCTTGAAACATTGATAAGATATGGATAGCCCATACAAAGCAATGGGAGAGCTGACGCGGTGTTCAATAATTGTCCGCGAACGCGCAATTCAACGCAAAGAGGTTTGATAAATGTAATAATTTTCTTAATAATGATTAATAATCGCCCACGTTAAATAATAATTACGCCTAAATATGCCAAAAAATATATAAAACTTAGAAAAAAAAAAAGTTAGTTAAAAATATAAAATTACTAACCTAACAGTATATAATTGGTGTAATATAATAGTAAAATCATAAATTTTATTATTGACCTCGGGGGAGAAAAAAAAATAAATTGCCTCCTTGGCCAGTGGACACGGACCACGGTTTAAGATATTTTAAATCGTAACACGAACTGATAACACTACGAGTACAGATATAGATAATAAATTATTAATATTGTCTATGCCTGTGACTACGAGTGATTATGTTCGTCAAATTTAGGTAGTTACCACGGATTAAGATAATATATCTCAATTCGTAGTAGGTACCTACTGGCAATATCGTCACTGGGAATACTGTTTTCAGATATTACGGAGATGAAATTATTTTTAAATATTAATCGATTCGAAGTATTAAACCAAATATCAATTGACAACTCTGGTAATTTCGGTTTTATTACC